CCCCCCCTATCACTCTTCCATCACCCCCCCCCCCCCCCCCCCCCCCCCCCCCCCCCCCTCGGCGGGGGGCGGCCCGGGGAATTAAAGAGCTTGTTATGCTCCCCTCCATAAAATTCAGGACTCAGACACTTGTTTGACTATGACTAACTTAAGGTGTTACTCTGCTGTAATCCAAACATGCTTTCTGCCAATGAAAACAGAGTTCCCCAAAACAGCCCTGCTTTTATCTGCCAGCCTATAAATAAAAAGGCACCGAGTTGCAAGTTCTGTACTTTCAGCCAAAAATAAACCTTCTAAACTAAGAACACCGAACTGCAAAGCTTCACAATCTGCTGAACAAAACGTAAATATTGCACTATGGCAATCCAACAGCACTGCTGCCTTCTGACTTGGCCAGATGTTCCATGCTTTAGGGTGCTGTGGGCAAAGGACGAGTCCACATAACATGGTTTTTGCTGGGAATCTCGTAAATTGGGTGAGCAATTTGATCTGCAGTCTGCTGGGAAATAGGAGGAAACCAAGCAAAAGTGCATGGAGGTAAAATGTTGGGGAGGGAAGGCAAGAAATGGTTTCTAACTATAAGAGGGGAGATGGATACAAGGGGAAAAAAATCACAGTGAGGTAGTGAAGCATTGGAACAGGTTGCTCAGACAGGTGGTGGATGCCACATTCCTGAAGACATTCAGGGTCAGGCTGGATGAGGCTCTGAACACTGAGGTGTCCCTGTTCAGTGCAATGGAGTCGGACCAGAAGATCTTTAAGGGTCCCTTCCAACTCAAACGATCTATGAAAGTGAATATTTGGCTGAATTGGCTTCAGCATGTTTCTAACCTGAGCTTCTCTCTGGTATTTTTAAAATCCCATGGTCTATTTGCCCACTGGGGATGAGTAACCCTATGGAATGTCCCACATTTGGAAGTATTTGAGAGCTCAGGGTCCAGTAATTGCTTGCAAACTGGAAGATTCTCTTCCAGTTATGTTATTCTGATACATGTTCTATTATTATCTGATACAAACCCAAGCAAGCTAACCAAAATCCCAAAGGAGACACTGATGTAGCTGGGGTATCACCCACCACTGCCCTGATTTTCCAGACATACAGAAATTAGTGTCTAGGAAACAAACAAACAAACAAACAACAAAACAACTGATCCATCTGCACTGCATTCCTAATTTAAGCAGCTCTGTTACCAGGCTCAGCTAGGAGGTGTGATCACCCCTGGCTCTGCTGCGTGCAAAACACGAGCTATCTTGTACATATTCATTAACCATGACATTAACAGTACTACTATCACCTGTACAACAGCACAAACTGATGCACTGATCAGCATCCATGTCAATCAAGCGTGCAGTCGGCCGTAACAGCCAGGATAACATCTGCAAAGGTATTTGTAGAGACAACACAGCCATGCAGAGATCTGTTGGAGATATTGTGATGATGGGGTGGCAGTCAGGCACTCACCTGGCTGTGATGCCATGGTCAAAGCCATCAAGGTTCACACTGCAGCCTCAGCTACTTGAACTCCTCCTGAACCCAGCAGAGCTGCCCTGCTTTTTGTTCTGTCCAAAAGTGGTAATAACTGGTGCTTCTGACAGGCTGTGCTTCAGTTCGAGGATATGGTCAGCTGCAGTGTGGAAAGGAAGCTACTTAATAAAAGGCCGAGCTGTTTTACAAGCTTGCCTGGAATTTAAGGTCAGGGTATCTGCATCGACTCATTACTTACTTTGCTCACTTCATCCTATTTAAACAACATAACCACTCAGCCACATTCTGAACAGGCATAGTGAGATACTGCAAAGCTGTTCCATGGACATGAATCTGCACTGTGGCAGTGAGTTGTATCTTCTATATCTATATCTATATATATATATATATATATCTACTGAGGACCTCTGTAATGTAAATAGCAAACAGTCTTCTTCTGGGGAGGCTGCTCAGGTAAAGGGCCGTACTATCTGTTCTACGAATGGATGGCAATGGAAATTAATCAGGACATACACTGACTCAAGAGTTTTATTTATTTGTCAGAGCTCTGTTCCACATATAGAAGAACAAGTCTTCACTTACCGCTTCAGCCAGTTCTCAAAAATTGTTACAATTTTTCTGAGGTTGTTTGTATAAATACATGTGCAAATGAAATAATTATGTCTCCTCTCTTAAGAAAACACATTTTATTAAAAAAAAAAACCCAACAACTTGCAACCAGTTTTCACTACCAACAATTCTGAACGTTTCGCAAAATCGCTCTTGAAAATAATTCACTACTCCTACAGCACAGGCAATATTACCAGGAGCTCTTATGCTTCCACACCTCAATTAAATCTATAAAATGAGAGGGGGAGGAAATAAATAAATGAACAGAAGATATGGACATGTGGTGGTGAGGAAAAATTCTACAGCATTTCCCAGCTGAGAATGCCTGGGGAAATCATTTCTAGCGTTGGGAAACACAGAAATTACTTTTTAATAAAGTCATAAATAAATAACTTTTTTTGGAGAGTTAATCAGAAATGGATTTAGAAATAATCTTTGATAGACTTTGCTTTGTCAAAGAGAAATTCTATCAAATTCAGTACTGCTGTTAGACAGAAAGCTTCAGTGTGATTGAGACCAAGATTCGTAGCCGTGGCCATCAAGGATTGGTGCCCTTTCGCCCAGATGGGATTGGAGGCAGGACAGGTTTGGAATTGGTGAGCTGAGGCACGTGGGAAGAACCAGTCTTGGCTTTGCTGTATTTTCTCTGAAGATTGTCACTATGAAGTTCAGTCTCTGCAGAAATTATAAATAAATAAGTGAAGAAACTTAAGGGGTATTGATTCTAATGAAAAGCCAGAATTTACCAACACAAAGTGCATCTCCAGCTGAAAATCCTGTGTGTTGTAGGGAAGAAAGACTACTATATACAGGTAGTCTAACAGCAATTCTAACTCATGTAAACAGAGGAGTAATTTTATGCCAAAGCAGCCATTATTTTGAATTTTTCCTTAAGTTCACTGCTGCATTAAGCATGTTGGCTCTGCAATGTGATGCTGTCACATCAGAACGTTGCTTTTTGTGTCATTACCACAGAGGCACAAAGGCTGCCCTATCACCCAAATAAAGCTAATATAGAATCATAAAATTGTTTGAAATTGGAAGAGACCTTTAAAGGCCACCTAATGCAAGTGCCCTGCAATGAACAGGGACATCTACAGCTACATCAGGTGCTCACAGCCTGCTCCAGCCTGACTTCAGTTATCTCCAGAGATGGAGCATCTACCACCTCTCTAGGCAACTTGTTCTACTGCCTCACCACCCTTACTGTTCTATCCTTCTTCCTTATGTCCAATCTAAATCTCTCTTCTTTTAGCTTGAAACCATTTTCCTTTGTCCTGTCGGAACAGACCTTACTAAGAAGTCTGTCCTCTTCTTTCTCAGTGCCCCCCTTTAGATAGCATTCCCTTCTCCAGGCTGAACTGCCCCAGTGCCCTTAGCCTGTCCTCATAGTGGATGTGTTCCATCCCTAGGATAATTTCTGTGGCCCTCCTCTGGACACGTTCCAACAGATCTATGTCTCAGTTGTACTGAGGACTCCACATACCTGCACTATCTGAAGAATAGTTGGACTAAATGACCTTTAAATGTCCCTTTCAACTGAAACAAATTCTATGATTCTACAATCATTACAGTAAGCATAAGCAAGACTGTTACTTTGAATAAGCTTCAAACCTTTCAAACTGTCCACTCCATTTTCAGCTCCCCTTGGACCTTGATGCTGAGCTTTGGCAGCTTCAGGAAGATGAGCAGGGGGAAGAGGGCTCCGAACGGGCAAAGCTTCAGCAGCAGGTGCACCAGTTGAGTTTAGAAATAGTCTGCTAGCAGGACCAAATCCTCTGCAGCTAAGAGAAGAAAATGATTTATGCTTTAAAATAATGATAAAAAAAGCATATATACCAAGTCTGGTATTATTACTGATGTTGCAATCACACAACTCAACCAGAAGTCAGAAATAAATGCCAGTGCTCATCAGTTACAGAAAGATTTTTCACACAGTACAGTTCTCTCAAAACATCCAGCGTTTGCAAATACAACTGCTGTCTCTCTCCATTTTCATTTATCAATTTAACTAATTAATCACACAAAGAGGTGTTACAAAGGGGTTCATGCCACACAGTGAATCAACTTCAGAGCGTCACAGAGTTTAAAGTGGAAAGGACCTCTGAATCTATCTAGTCCAACTCCCCTGCTCAAGCATGGCCAACTAGAGCAGGTTGTCCAAGACCATGGCCAGATGGCTTTTGAACACCAGATCTGAAATCAGAACTCATGGCTCCTTATTTGGAGTCTGACAGTGATAGGATAGGGGTTATTGTTTTAAACTAAAAGAGGTGAGATTTAGGTCAGATGTTAGAAGGAAATACTTTACTCAGAGGGTGGTGAGGAACTGGAGCAGTTGACTAGGGAACTTGTGGATGCCCATCCATGGAGGTGCTCTAGGCCAGGTTGCATGGGGTTCTGGGCAGCTTGATTTGGTGAGAGGCAGCCAGGATCCCTTCCAAACCAATCATTGTATGAGTCTACGATTCTGCAGACAATGGCTTCTTTTGGTAAATAAAATAAAATGGGAATTGCCTTGAAAAGCAGCAGTTCTGTAGTACTCACTGACAACCTGGATCACAAGTAGCCATCTACCAATGAGATGCAACTAAGGCACCTCTGACCTATTAGGTGTCTTACAGAAAAACTAACCCAAAACAAAGCCTGAGTGGTCTGAAAGACTCTTCCCCCTGTACTCAGCACTGGTGAGGCCGCACCTCGAGTACTGTGTTCAGTTTTGGGCCCCTCACTACAAGAAAGACATTGAGGCCCTGGAACGTGTCCAGAGAAGGGCAACAAAACTGGTGAGTGGTCTGGAGCACAAGTCTTATGAGGAGCGGCTGAGGGAGCTGGGATTGTTCAGTCTGGAGAAGAGGAGGCTCAGGGCAGACCTCATTGCACTCTACAACTTCCTGAAGGGAGGTTGTGGTGCAAAAGGGTCTGGCCTCTTCTCCCAGGCAAACAGTAGGACCCGAGGAAATGGTCAGAAGTTATACCAGAGGAGGTTTAGGTTGGATATTAGGAGAAACTTTTTCTCTCAAAGGGTGGTCAGGCATTGGAATGGCTGCCCAGGGAGGTGGTGGAGTCGCCGTCCCTGGTAGTGTTCAAGAGGTGCCCGGATGAGGAGCTACGAGAGATGGTTTAGTAGCTTGTGGCACTGATAGGAATGGGATGGTGGTTGGACTAGATGATCTTGCAGGTCGTTTCCAACCTTGTGATTCTGTGATTCATATTAAGGCAAAAATGAGTAAATGTGACAAAGATAATGACCAGACTGTAGCTTATTATGATATAGGCTTTCCATTTCATTTCTAGGTTCATATCTATATAATATCAATTTACTTGAAGAAAAGTGAAAGACCCTGATTGATACAGAGAGATCAGTAACTCCTCTTCAATGTAAAACCATAATGTATTTCTGGAGCAACGCCTAAGACATTTGATAATGTCTGTCTTCATGTGCTTTTCATACTGCTTTTCTAAGCACGGTTCTGATCTGCAAGGTCGAACTGATTCATAGGTTTAATGAACTTGTGAGGAAGCTCTAAGATTATCCACCCTGACCCTACTGATAGTGCAGGCCAAAAGAATTTCACCCTCTAATTCTTGCAAGATGCATTATATCTTGTGAGAATATTGTGATTACAGCATTCCAAGGAATAGAGAGAGAATTTCTGTGGTATTTTAATAAAACCATGCAGTAAGAAGAAAGGATCATGAATAATGAGATTGAAAAGTGTGTTACTCCCATAAGAAACAGGTAATTATCTTCTAACTAGAGGTAGTGTAGAAGTCTATGTGATTTTTCTACTGCCTTCAAGGTAAAGGAATATTACATTCTGTAATGAGTGTTCCTGTCCCCTATTGAGGTCTAATTGAATCCAAGGATGCTCACCAAACACTGAATGCTATAGCCCTGTGCTCAACCCTAGCTGTAATCCCATTTTAGCTGCCCATAATATGCATCAGACGTAACTGTGGGAAGGATGAGAAATTATGAGCAGTGAATCCAGCTTCAGTATAAAAACAGCTTGGACAATTCAACAGCATCAAAATCCAGCATGCTTAGTGTTGAAGAAACATTGTCACTGCTCCTGGGTGTAGCAGTAAGGCAGGCACCCATGTCCCCCTCAAACTATACAGATAGGTTAATGACAAGAACCCTACCAATGCAGCACTACAGCAGAAATCTCTGTACGTAGCTTGTAAGCAAGCAACTCACAAGATAAAAACCAAATTACCAATATGATTATCCTGTGTTGGCTGTAATTATGATTTCTCTGTGAGGAAATAGTGCTTTTGATGTAGCACCTTCTTCCACACAGGGAAGTAGCGTACATTATAATGACAGCTGCAGTCTTGCAAGTGCAACCCATGTTTACTTGTGGCAGCAGACAAGCACATTTGTCTTAGGACACTCAATAATTCTGACTAAGGAGTTATAGTATGTTAGCTCTGACAGCAGCTATAACAAAACTAACACAGGGGAAGACTGGGTGCTTCACTAAACACCTCACTATTATTTCAGTCTTATCCAAGCAGTGAGTTTTAATAAACCTTGACATGAGGCTTTAGTGTAATGATCGTTTCCTTGTTTAGTTGCACAGAGTTTAGCAAAAGGCTTCTCTAGCACAAACATCATGGGAAATTATTAAGGTTTCTTGGAATGCTACTCAGAATAAGAAAGCTATCAAAAAGTAAGTGGAGAAATTACAGCTTAAAATCTGCTAATAATCTATGTCTAGACCTTCCCCAGCACAGAAAAGAAAACTACCACATATGGAGTAGGAATGTGCCCTAACTTTAAGCTTTTACCTCTACCTATATTTTCCCATCATTTAAATGGAAAGAAAATGAATTTTTAAAAGAGGACCTGAATACCCCATGGAATAATGAGAATAATGGAGTCTGTGTGCACTAAACACAGATTGTGTTAGTAATGAGTAGAAGACTAAAGCCCTGGACTGCTACAGGTTCTGTTTAGATTATGCTTGCACTGGACTGCCAAACCCCAACATACATCATTTCATATGTTGGCACAATATTTCAATTGACAGATATTCTTCATTTGATTGTATTTTGAGATAGCTCCTTGCTAAATGCACAGTTCAGTTATAGGTGAGGTTCTGCCTCCACTCTCAAAAGTACAGATGAAGGTACACTAACAGGTTAAGAAGTTTCCACTCACCAGCTACTAGTTCCTAACTCCACTCTGTATTTCACTCCTCCTCTCTTCTCCTCACCTTGCTATGCTGTAACCAGATCATTTTAATAGCTGGCTTATACAGTAGCCTTACAAGAACCTGTACTGGTACAGACGAATACCCCTCTAGAATGAGAAGTAATGGCCTTAAGCAGTGTCAGGGGAGCTTCTGTTGGAAATTAGAAAAAAATTATTCTCAGAAAGAGTGTTGAGGCATTGGAACAAGCTGCTCAGGGAGATGGGGAACTCACTGTCCCTGGAGGTGTACAAGAAACATGAGATTGGCACTGAGGGACATGGTTAGTGGGCATGGTGGGGATGGGTTGATGGTTGGACTTCATGATCTTAGAGGTCTTACCCAACCTTAATGACTCTGTGGTCCTATTTGCAGTCCCAGCACCCTAGGGTTTATGTTCATGGAGCATCATAAGGGACATCATACAATCCTACTAAGAAAGATCTCAGCATTGAGAAATAAAGCAACAAAATTGGGACCTGGACACAGTTGTCCAGCAAGATGTCAGACTAATCTGCAGACCCTGATCCTGGCAAACAATGTTTGCTTTTTTGCTTGTGCCTGGAGGTCAAAACATTAATGATCTTACCCCTTGTTGGCTTTTTTAATTTTACTCTTTCTTCCATTCCAAATGTGAAAAGCATAACATTGGGAAAAAGCAAAAGAAAAGATTAAAACACCTCAATATTCAGACAAGTAAAATCACTACAGGTTTTACTGCAGTACTTCAGAAGGGAGGGATTATTTCTGCCAGTATTTCAAATGCATTTACACAACAGCATTTCCAACAACCACTCCTATTAGAAAATTTATTCCAACCTTTCCTTATTTCCCTTGCAAAAGAATTTGACAACATGACTCCGCACAGTTTTGCAGTAGGCCTTGATGCACGCACAGAAAATGAATCAGATTAGCAGTTTGCATTTTCCCTCCTCACAGTTGTTTTTCCACTCTGTTATTAACAGTGCTAAATGAAAACACTGTTAAAGTCAAAACACCAAAATGTGGTGGAGTGGAAAGACGTATTTATTCCCATATGCGAAGGGTGAGACCTTTACAATTCATCAGAGCCTCACACTCATTTGAGTTATAGGTCTTGCCACTTACTGCTAAGGACAGATGATGCATAACCCCTCTGCAACCTATTATGCACTCAGTTTCTCTCATATGCTCACTCTGTTCCCCTTCAGCACACTCCACTGTGGCACAAATACTCAGGACAAATGAATCTGCAGAGGCCTACGGTTTCAACCTCTTTACAGCATGCTAATTAACTACTTGTAATTACAGTGGCAGGTAGTACATCACATAGAGGGAACTGGCAGCCTCCCTAGGATATAAAAGGAACACAGATTTCTTTTTTTTCAATAGTAAGTTTATCTAAGAATTCTGCTTCAATAGGTTGAGAACGAAGTGAATGGGTTGAAATCTTACAAAGACATTAGCATTTCTCATTGCTTTGACTTATGTGAAAAGCTGTCTAATGTGTGTTTTGGTTTTGTTATTTAATGCAGTGATTTGTTCACTTAAATAGTTGGAAAATACATGGTATGGGTGTTTTAATACATCCGGAAAGGTAGCTTGGTTTGTATGGAGTGAGAATAAGGTATCAGCTATTTGATTCAACCCATGATCTAATTCCAGATTTCCAACAGCCATACAGCACAGACATCAGCTCACAGTTGCAGCTTTCAGATGAGCTTTCCGTAGGTTCATAAGAGTGAGGAAAGCTCATTTTAAGGTGGCCCAGGGCACAGCCATAAGTGCAAACCCATTTCCATGTGTGGATGGGGGTTCTGGCATGTTACACTGCACTGGGTCATGCTGTGTGGCACCTGCTGCTTCTGTGTATCCCATCTGGGTGTGAGATTACAACAGATGGCCAGGAGACGGGAAAAAAGGCTTATTCAGAATTCTGCATAGAAAAGCTGCAGTGTCACTTGCTCTAATAGTTGGCAGCCAGAGCTCAGACATTCTTATGGAACAGGACAATAAGAGCAAGTCACAGCTGTCTTGGCAGGATGGCAATGTGGACTTGCAGAACTAGTCAGCAAAACATAGCTTCCTTCATAGCAGGATGCCTGAAAGACAGTGTAGATGTAGCCTTTTCAAATCTTCTTTACTTCTCTCTCTACAAGCTTTACATGAGATAGGAGCTGTCTCCATTTCATACTTCGAAACATATGAACATATAAATGAGGATGCTCATCACTCATTGGATGAGATATGCCACATAGCAACAATGTCTGAGTAAGGAAAGGCAAAGGTACTACAGAGGATCCTGGCAGGGTCTGCTGTTATCATCGATGAGATATGAATATGAAGATTGTGCTATTACCCATAGCCATTACCCACACCTCCCAAATGGTATTCAATGTTAACTATGATAATCCTTCAAAAAAGGAAAGAAATAATTCTGATAGCAATATCTGACAATTTGTCTAAAAAAATAGTTGTCACTGAAGTTCTTTTTCTCTATACCTGGGCCAAGTTTCATTCAGCATCATTTCCCCTTCAAATATCCTGTTAATTGAAAGCTCTGGAAATTCTCTCTCTTTTTTATGAATTATGGTGCCTAAATGAAACCATTCCTGTGAATGACAAGATTTGTATACTGTACATTTAATAAGGCTGTTGTAACAGATGAGACAACTGCATTACTTTGGACAGTAGTTTTACATCTTATGTACTGCAGCATTAACTTTCACTGCACTCAGTGGCAGTCTCAGAAATGGAACTCACCTGCTTTCTGTGTTAATCAGGGGGAAGCTGTGGGCTTGGGTGACACTCTTTCCATCTGAGACCAGAGAACTATGTGTTGTTGGCTCCAATAATTGTTGCTGGGAGCTGCCTGGTGCAGGAGTGATTCCAAGGTCCCTGGAAAAAAAACACAAAAAGAAAATAGAGGCTTGTTACAGGCTTTTATATACTCTGACAGAATAGTTAGTGCTTAGCTAGCTCATCAGATGTATCTGGATAAAGGGGAGAACTATCTCCAGAAGAAGAGAAGCAGGAATAAGCAGTTGAGATAGTAGTCCAGGTTCTGCTTAGAGCCAGTGGAAAGGAACAGTCACATTCATGGCGATTGCAGTATTGACATCACTTCATTTATAGACTTGAACCATAGAATTACTTGAGTTGGAAGGGACCTTTAAAGGTCATTTAGCCCAGCTGCCCTGCAATGAATAGGGATACCTCGTCAGGGACCCTGTAGAACTAAGACCAAGCACAAGCAGCACTGAAGATTGCCAGAAATAAGACATTCCCAATGAAAAGCTGAATTTAAAATTGCCACCTCTTAGGAGATTCCATACATCTACTCTACTAGAGCCACCCCACTGACACAGCTTAACGACCTCAGAAGGAATCAATGTATTTCTAAGGGCTAAGAGGCCATTTAAGTTCCGCATTTTCTGCTTTCCCTAGGAAGCTTAAGAGCATTTTTAATCACAGCAGCAACTGCTGAATGCTTGTTCCATGTGAGAAACAAGGTTTCAAAGAATCAGTGGAAAAGACCCCTAAGATCATGTAGTCTGACCAACAGCCTGTCCCACTAACCATGACCCTCAGTGCACCCTCTTCATGCTTCTTGAACACCTCCAGGGATGACGACTCCCGTCTTCACAATTTCTTAGATTAAATTTATTTAAATCTTCCCATGCTTCAAGCTCTTGTTTCATTGCCATCCACTGCTGGCTAGCAATGGTTAGTTCATTATTGGCTCAGATAAAAACCTGAACCAAATTCATGGAAAAAAAGGGTCCCTAGAGCTACTGGGTGCTCTCAGAAATCAATTTGTGTACATCAGCATAATGGAAATAAAAATTAAAAAGAAATTAAGAAATTCTTGTAACAGAGAACTTTGGTCAATGGAAGGTAGAAGAATTAAGGCAGAAGTCTGAAGGCAAACTTCAAGGCCACACCTCTAAGGACTGGATCCCCACAACAAAATGGTCTCTACTACTTGGAGTAAAGCTTGGTATACACAACCTATGATCAACTCAGAAGCTACATCTCAGCTGAAAAATAAATTTAAACCAATCTATCAGACAGTTAAGGAACACAAGCATTTTTAAAGTTGAAAGGGATGTTTTTCTACTACCTACCTGTGTGCCAAATGTCTTCTTCACACTTGGTCTTGAGTTTTGTACTGTTGTTAGAGGTTTATAAGGCTTAGTGTAGCTCTAATTGCACTAGTATGCCTCAGATCAAATGAAAAAAGGAAATTGGTTGGGATAATTTAAATAGCTCCCATGTAGTTCATACCCATGTAGTTCTGTCCTAGTTTTGTCACTAGCATGGGCATAAAAGGAAAATTGAAAAGTGAAATTATATTGAAGTCAGAAGCTGGCCAGACAACAGGGTCTGCAAGACATGTATGCTACATGCATGCAAATCTTATGCTTACAGCAAGCAAATCCAGCCTGAAGAGAGTGTCAACCACAGGTAGACCACGCACCTTTGCTCTTCCAGTTCTGGCAGGGAGCTCTTTTGAGACTGTAAAGTGTATGAATCTCCTCCAACTCAGAAACGTGAGTTCACAGGTTATAAATTTTCTGCTTGGAGATGTCTGCTTTTGCTTACTTCAGTTCTTTCAGCAACATTCCAAGAAAAACCAACAAGTTAATCATTAGACAAAGGTCTGATCTGAATGAAACTTCACCCCAACTCCTTATTTATTACCATCAGCCACAGAGACAGTGAAATTATTCAGATCAAACCACGAAACATTGCCTTTACATTCTATCAGGCAATGAGACATCAGAATGACTTTAATTACACACAGCTGCAGGCAGAAAAAAAAAGAGGCTAGGTTTTCAGTAATTTAGATTTAAGAATCCAAATTTATGTAGATAACCCTGTGGGGCTGCAATAAATAAAGCAGGATGGATGCTTGTGTGACACCACTTTTAAAATTTTCTAATGCATGCTTTGGAAAATTGAGCAATATATATCAGTCTGGATTAAAATGTGCAATGGAGAGATTAAGCATTAAAGAATCTTTTAATATTTACTGATATATGAGAAACTCAAAACATTTAGTACCTTAAGAACTTTTTTGCATCTATCACTCTTGGCACCAGTTTGATATATCTCCCAGTATTTAGATTCACTCCCAGCTGAAGTAGGGTTTTCATTCTCTGCAATAGCACTGCTCAGAAGCAAGTTGACATGCTTCTGTCCTCCACCATTTTGGGTCCACAGCCACTCACTCACCCTCCCAGTCTGCTGTCAGCATCACACCAGCATAATTAATTATTCTGCAAGTGAGTGAAATGGATTAGAGGACTGAACAAAAACAAAACCAAACCAACAAAATCCACCAAAACTCACCACCTTTTTTGGCTTTGCAAAACCTATGGCAGCAAGTTTCCTACATTTAGGTGCTGGAACAGGCTGCCCAGAGAGCTTGTGGATGCCCCGTCCATCCCTGGAGGTGTTCAAGGCCAGGTTGGATGGAGCCCTGGGCAGACTGGTCTAGTATTAAATGGGGAGGTTGGTGGCCCTGCCTGTGGTAGAGGGGCTGGAGCTTTGTGATCCTTGAGGTCACTCCCAACCCTGGCCATTCTGTGATTCTTTGATTCTGTGATGAAGACTCATCTGCTAAAAGCCTCTGTAAGGTCAGAGATGTTACCAGCGAAAGAAATTATTTTTACACAAACAGCAGATTAGGCAGACAGATTTTATGCACTGCTGCTGACAATGGAAATTAAAAAAAGGTGTCTCATATTCTTAAAAAAAAAAAAATTAATTAAATTTAGGACAAAGCTGATGAGATTCAAGCAAAAAAAGCAAGTGTTTTTCAAAAGCAGATTTCAAACAGCATGACTTCTGTCCTATTTACATAGCTGAGTAAAAAGAGAAAGAAAAACCTCCAAATGAAATAGCTTAAAATAAGTACTTTTCCATGAGAGAGAAAAACCTGATGAGTATTGAAGACAAGGTGGATCTAGACATAACAGTAAGATGAGATGTCTAACCTGAATGCCTATTGCAATTCGACTGCATGAAAGGATTGATGCCCATTTTTAGTATCATATACTGAGACAATAAAGTGGTGTGCCTCAGACACGCTATTGACTTTTATTTGCCTGCACTTCTAAGGACGTTTAATGTTCTCTGGTCAATTTTGAGAGTTAATTAACAAATTAGAGAGAACTTACAGTAACATTACTGAATTTACTAAGCACAGGCTTGCAGAGAAAGGTGAAAGGACATGGATTTGAAGGGTGGACTGTCAGGTGCATAAACAATTGGTTGAATGGTTGCAGCCAGAGGGATTTAGTCAATGGTTTGATGTTCAGGTGGAGGCAGTGATGAGAGGTGTCCTCTAGGGGTCCATCTTGGGAACAATGCTCTTCAAGACCTTTATCAATGACATCAGTGATGGAATTGAGTGTACCCTCAGCAAGTTTCTGATGACACCATGTTGAGTGGTGCAGTTGACACAACAGAAGGAAAGGATGGAATCCAGAGTGACCTGGAGAGGGTTGAAAAGTGGGCCCCATGAGAACATAATGAACTCTAACTAGGCCATACGCAGAGTGTTGGGTTGAGGCAATCCCAGATATGTCTACAGATTGGAAAAAGAAATAATTGCAAGCAGCCCTGATGAGAAGGACTGGGGGTTCTAATGGACAAAAAAGCTGGACATTAGCCAGCAGTGTGCTCTTGAAGCCTGGAAGGCCATCTGCATCGAAAGAGGGGAGGCAGCAGGGTTAGGAGGTGATTGGCTCTCTCTCCTCTGTCCTTGTGAGGCCCCATCTGGAGTGCTGCATCCAGGTCTGGGTCTCTCAGTACAGGAGGAATGCAGACCTTCTGGACTGGGGCCAGAGGAGGGCCATGAAAATAATCAAAGGGCTCCACTACCTAATAGTTATGTTCCAGGAATCAGATTCTCTCTCAGAATTTAAATCATTTTGTAACATTTACATTAATGGCATTTCTTGACTTCTTGCATGGAATGGTGCATTGTCTACTCTTGCCTCCAATTCTGCTGAGTGCATCTATCCCTTGAGGCCTGGTAATTGCAAACACTGATTGGGAGTGACAGGATTTTCTCTCACCTGCCTGACAGCTCTGCTGAAACAGCTTCTTATTTAACTCCTCAACCAGTTTCCTTGGAATGACTATTATGGAATAGAGGCTGCAAAGAGCAATGGATGCAAGAGAACAGTTTACACTGCCACACTAAATCAAAACCAAAACATCCAGCATAAGGAAATACTGATTTCCATTTTTCTTCTCAGTACAACATAGTTTAAATGAATGAGTGGAAAGAAAAGTCTTCCTTCAGCTACTTAAAAAACTTTTCTTTAAGGTTTAGAAAATGTTTCATAATTATGCATCTCTGCTGTAAGCTTCTGCCATTGTTTTTTCTAAAGATAGTTTAACACACTGATTTGTTTCTTATTTATTTTTAAAGAATCAATTTTCAGTCTTCATTACAGAAAAGTTGGTATGTGTAATTAGTGAACTGAAAGTCTGTTCCATTCATTTTGATAGGTGCTGATATAGAGGCCCATGTGCTACTTTTAAATGTCAACACTGTGATGAGCCTTTTCACAACAGGTAGGAGAAGCAAGCAAAAAAGAATCCAAAATAGGAAGATTTGCAATGGTATTTATCAGGGAAAGGAAGAGCTACCACAAAAGGCCAACCAAAGAAAGTACACTAAGATTTACAAACTTAACACTATTTTTGCAGAGCTGTGACTATAAGAAAAGGCAGAAGAGACAGTAAAGATATGATCCACCTTCATTAAAGAAAAAGAGCCAGAAAATGGAGTCAGCTTTCAGAAATTCTGCTTTAAACAAAAGTATGCACACAAATGCACTGCAAAGAACCTCGTGCTAAGCAAGGTCCAGCAGTAATCACCAGAAGCACTAAAAAACATCTTGGAGACTGTGCACTGCCAGAAGCAGCCTTTCAGTATGTAAATGGAGGCTATGAGAAAGAAGGGGATAGAGTCTTTAGCAGGGTCTGTTGTGATAGAACAGGGGGAAATGGTTTCAAGCCTAAAGAGGGGAGATTTAGGCTAGATACAAGGAAAAAGTATTTTACACTGAGGGTGGTGAGGCACTGGAACAGGTTGCCCAGGGAGGTGGTGGATGCCCTGTCCCTGCAGACATCCAAAGAGTAGAGCTGGAGTAGGCTCTGAGCACCTGATCTAGCTGTAGATGTCTCTGTTCATTGCAGGGAAGCTGGACTCGACGAGCTCAAAGGATCCCTTCCAACTCAAATGATTCTGTGGTTCTACATTACCTTTGAAACAGCTGGACATATGCACTAGGAGCCTTTCCTGACAGAGCCTGACGTGCTGCAGCATGACGTCTTCGGAGAGAAGCTTCTTCCTGATGAAGAAATACAACCAACTTCACACAGGAACTTAAAGGTATACAGGGTAACTTAATTGGTTGTGATATTCCTCTCTATTGTTAAGTTTCTAAAATGTACGCATTTATTCTGGGAAAATAGAGTTTCGCTATAAGTAACAAGATGCTAAGTATAATTCACCAATAACAAGATGCTAAGTATAATTCACCAATCTATACAAAGCAAATTTTGGTCTGAAATCCTGTAGGCTTTGAATAATGAAGATATTCATCTCCATTGAAGCCCTACTTCTTCATATAACATTCAAAACTGCCAGGACATAGCAGGAAGAAGTATCTGCAGAGAACTACTTCTGATGCATTCCTACCTCACAGTATAACAGAGCTGGGATAATTCAAGGTATGCTGTTGTCTTCAGCTTGTTTTCACCAGCAAGGGGTTGAACTCAGAAAAAAACTGCTTCTGCTACAACTTAAATACATCAGCTTTCTCTCTTTGCTCCAACAATAATGAAAACCTGTGTTTCTTTCTATATAAACCAATAACCAATATTTCCCTCTCAGAGTTGGAATTAACCAACTGAAATTTGCATAAGGTAAAATGATTCCATACAATGAACACATTATGATCTTAGCAGACTGAAAAATATGGTCTTGATTTTCAAGGGTGTGTTAATTAACATGTGCTGTGCACAGTGTAATTTCTCAGGTCAGACAAACACCGAACAACAGCATGCTTAAAAAATGAAATGTAAATCTCAGAGCAAAGTTATTACATCCTGCTTTGTTATCAACTGATAGCCATCGATAGTTATCAATTTAATAGCTAAATCACATGTCTGTAACAGAGGTGTTTTGTTATGGTATGAGGAATGAAAGAGAATACAGTTAATCTGCTAACAGCTCACATGATGACTACTGTGAATTCCTGCACTTTCTTTCACTATCACGATAAATAAGGGTCTGTTTAAAAGCTCACTGAGCTTGAGTTACGTTTTGCTTTCTTTTGATAAAGATGCAGCTCCGTTCCTGTTTTTGTTGGTGCGGATTACAGGCATGGATTCCTTTATGTTCATCCCTTATGTAGTTAATTGCAGCTACGTGACATTGGTGCTGGTTTGGCATGCTCACAAGGGAGAAGGCTGTAGGGAATCAGATCTGCTGTCTTCCTCTAAGCAGCAGACTCTGCTTCTTAATTTGCTCATGGACAACTCACATCCATAATTTCTTCTTTTTTTTTTTTTTACTTTCTCATTCTACATGATGGGAGTGGAATGTAGTTACTGCAGTGACAGCAAATTATTTCAGTGCTTAAAGTAAAAAAAAAAAAAAAAAAAAAGCAGTCTCAAATGTAACAGTTTAGACAAAATTTTACTTTAAAGCCACAGACATATTTATATTCTTCTCATTAAATACAGTCCAAGAGGCACCTGTGTTTCACCTTGGATGTTTTACTACATTCACACTTCAGCTGATGCTATAAAGCTTCCTCTGCACATAAAAATGTATTGGAAACTTAGCATAGTAAATAACTAAAAGTTATTACCAGCATTGAACAAGGAGACTAATAAGAAAGAGAGCCTTGCAGCCACGAAGTAAGTAGAACCCACATTAAATGATAGCCTACTTCATCATAAACCACTTCTCCCTGACTTGACAAAATGTAAACGTTCAAGATAATATTAAAAAAAAGATGAAATAAAAAGTGAGAGAAATAAATTGCTGGGGCAGGAGAGCTGTCAGAGAGCCACCAAGGTAAGAAAAATCCTGCTTTCTGTCTCACCTTAAACTAACAAACCTTTACATGAAAGAAACATGAAAATGAACAACACTTGTGACAGTTTTTGAATTCTGCAAGGCTTGAACAGAGGCATTTCATTTCAGAAAATTGGAAGATAGGAGGTTTCTTATTTATGTCAGCCATTTTACCATCATACCCTTCCCCACACTCAAGAGAGCCTTTTTTAAACCCTGGGAAGCCCAGGAGGGGGTCTTCTACTTTGCTCCATCTAGAACACTAATTCTATACATCAGAGGTAGTTATAAATATAGAGATAGTGGCAAAATTGTGTAGCAAGTCATCCTGCCCAGCCATCATTCATCATAATGACATCATAAACCTGGAATGGAACAAAGTTTAAAGCCTTCATTTTTCTTTTTCTCTTTCTCCTGTCATTGACATATAAAAAGAGCATTAGACACATCTGCTTCGTACTCTCAGCTCCCCCACTGCCTGCAAGGAGAATGAATACCTTTAGGGAAAACACTATTGAGAAGGAAAAAAAAAAAAAAAAAGAGAAGAAGCCAAAGTTGCAAGAGGTTATTTGAAATCCAAGCACACTGTTGGATCTGTTGATTGAAAAAGTGAAAGCAGGTGAAAAATGTGCTTAAATTTGATCCCTGGCAGTCATTACCAGCACTCACTCTGAGACACTTGGCTGAATGAGTTTTTCCACTGCCACGGGATGGCATTCATAAGTAATCTTCATTGTCCTATGAACTGCATCTAACTGTTTGCTCTGAACAGGAAGGTTTCAATGTTATGTAACAGAACTGAGAGAGATGCTATTCAGCTCCCTTACATCAGGGCATAACTGGATGAAATCCATTATGATAAATGGTTTTATTTTGGTGTGAAATTGAGCAGATAAGTTAGTCTTACTCATCTGCCTTGAACTCTAGGTAACTTGTAAATGGTTGGAAGGAAAGATAGCCAGAGAACAGAATTTAATTCTTTTCTGGAGAAAGAAAAGTCTGACATACAAATAGTTTTTTTTTCTCCATATAAGTTACTTCTATCCTAAGACTAGAGCAAATGCTACTTACCACAGCGCTCAGTTGTGCACTAAGTTTGTCTGAAGTCTCTCCTGAATAATTTTTGGCAGAAGAGTCCAAGAATTCATTGATAGATGAAGACTGAGTACTGCCAGTCACTCCTCTGCTGGGTGACAATCTTTGCTCTTGCAAGAAACGTACCCTTGAACCTAACATGGAAAAGACACTTCTCAAAAAATAAAATTCTGAACAGCACTTTGCTTACAGCAGTCAGAAAGAACCTGGGCATTTGCAGCTATGAACTGGTTTTTGGTACCATTTTGGATTTACAAAAGATAACTGAGAAGGTTACAAAGGATATAAACCATTCCAAGCTAACTGAAATCCACTTACTTAGGAATTTTTACTTTCTTAGAGTGGTCAGAATGTGATAGGGAGCTAGAATGGGACATCTGTTCATAGAATCATAGAATGGCTTGGGTTGGAAGTGACCCCAGGGATCATCAAGTTCCAACTCCCTGCCACAAGCAGGACCACCAACCTCTAGAGCTGGTACCAGACCAGGTTGCCCAGGGCCCCATCCAACCTGGCCTGGAACACCTCCAGGGATGGACGGGGCATCCACAGCCTCTCTGGGCAGCTGTTCCAGTACCTCACCACTCTCTCTATGGAGAACTTCCCCCTGACATCTGATTTTTTTTTCTCTTACTTCTCTAAAGTTTAAAAAACAAGAAATCCAAAGACTTGTAATATGCTGTACTGCAAGGAATCAAACAAAAATGTAAGTTGAAAATACAGGTAACTCCTTCATTTTTAAATTTTTTTCGAATTTGAGAAATCTGTAAGCTGGAATGGGTGAATGGATGGAAGACAGATGTCGCGTTCCTGGAGCTATTCAAGGTCAGGCTGGACAGGGTGCTGAGCAACCTGGTCCAGCTGTAGGTGTCCTTGTTCATTGCAGGGGAGCTGGAAAAGATTGTCTTTAAGGGTCCCTTCCAATTCAAACAATTCTATGACTTATTCTGTCTATAAAGTAATATCTAAATATTACACTCAATCACAGAAAAATATCTTCTATTGGTACATGGCGCATTTTGTAGAAATTCAATCATTTCTTACTGTAAATTCAATCATTTAATCTTACTGTACTGTGTGTCATGTCATATATTATCACACACAATCGGGATAGATGAGAGTCAAAAAGATATCCAATCCATTTGCATGTTCATGTATTAAATATGGTTACTTTTCTTACTATATGCACCTATTAAAAAAAAGTTTCAACAGTCATCAGATGACTTTCAGCCCAGCCATTAAATATATACTGCTGGCTTGTAGCTGGCAGGAATTCTGGTGTTAAAAACAGAGGAGACAAGACGTGAGATTGGTAGGCTCTGTTTCACTCACAGTAAATCACTCATTTTGACACTGAATAAGTGGTGGAGTCTAACCTTCAGAAGCGCAGAGCTTCACAATACAAAAAAATTCTGTGGGCTTGCTGGTGCCCAGCATCACAAATAATCAGTCTTTAACGCAAATGTTCCTTTACTCACTTGTAAAATACAAATAGTAACACATACTCTACAGGACTGCTGGAGGAAATAATTAATAGTTGTATAGTACCAAGTTCTGTGGATGAAAGCTGATAACACAAGTACAAAACATTATCAGTCCTGCACTGTATTAAATTTCTCCTCTAAAAAGTTTCTAAAAAGAAGAACTTATCTATTTTCTCCCAGTATTTTCACTTTGCATATGAGCAAAGGATCTTGCACAGCAGTTCATTAAAAAAGAGAATTAACAACCTATCATAATCTCACACAACCAATCTTCCCCCTGCTTCTATCTTACTAAAAATGTCCATTTAAAGACAACCTTGAGGCAAGTTTTTAAAAATAAATTATTTCACACAGTCCATAAGAAGGGATGATCACTAGAAACAGGATAGTTAAATTCATTTAAACACCTATAAATGAAGCTCCAAATGAATTTAATGGTGCATAGTAAATTTAAAAGTTGCTTTATAGACAGTAGAATTACCAAAATGTAGCACTGTTAATGAAGTTTCTGTAACTAGTGACAAGCCACTCACAGAAAGAACTCTGAGGAATACAGAGACCTTTAAAGAAACCTCACATATGTACACACACATCTTCAAAAATGCGATTGCATAGAAATCTTTTGTCTTTATACCTTTTCCTTTTTGTCCTGATAATCTAGTTAGGGCTTGGTGGGTTTTATTGCCTCTCAGGACAAAACATCTCCAGTGATTTTAAGACAAATAAGTACCAAGATTATAGGCAGTAAGGCAAGGAATTCCTCCCCTCTGACTTCAAACAAATACGCAAGCCCTAGAAATAAAAATAAAATCTATATAGATAAGATTAAATAAGATTCTTCAGAAAATGTGCTCACTGTTATAGCACTGGGACACCACAATATGCATAGGAGCTTTTCCGTCCCCCCCTGGGAAATCAGTATTTATTAATTCTTTCAGGAGACAAAATTACTTGAAATGATGAACTGATGAATTTTGCACTATCCTTCATTAACATTTTCAAACGTTTTTGCCCTCCTTCATCTACTTTTATTTGCAGCCTTCTGAGCCACACAGAAGGTCATGAATATTGGCTCTATGTAACTTCAGAAACTAATTACTCTCCTATTGCAATGGACCTAACCAAGAGAGCCATAAACCACAGAGGTTCTTAGAGGTAAGAGTTCACATAAATGAGCTTGTTGTTAGTCTCTGTTGTGTAACATCTTACTGCTGTGATATCTCCTTCTTATTCCTTTTTCTCCCATCCTTTAGAGACTATATTCTTCTGCTTTTATCTCAGGTTGTAATGTGTCCTGTTTGGAATAAATCATGAGTAGAGCTGGGTTCTCATAAGCTAATCTTAGGACTTCTCTCTGACAAGAGCAGTCCTTTCTTCTTCTAGAAGCACTCGTGAAGCTCTTCTCCCCTACCCTTCTCTCCTTGAGCCAACCCTGTAGCTACAGAATGAGGTTGATCAAGGAATTAATCTGTCTGAAAGTCAGGTGTGTTCTTTTCTGGGTTAGTTTTTGGAGGAATTATATGTGACTGCACTATCAGGGGAATGAGAGCAAGGGAGGACTAGAAACGTACAGGCAGGAGAGGTAAGTTGGGCAGAACTGCTTTTTGTAGCAGCATGTGTTTGGGTTAGCCTGAAGTGATCAAGAGGCTTCATCTTCAGTTATTCAAGTAGTTAAAGGGTTCTTTTAAACACAGTGCCAATCATCTGGGTTTATGCTGCAGTGGGTAACCCCAAAAGCACTTGGAGTGAATTTTTAAGATGCCTTCACTCATCTTACTATCCTGGTTTTCATATATCTCTTCATGCTTCTGGCTATCCTGAGGGAAAGAGAAAACTAAGCTCTCAATGCTATGCCCTTTTCTTGTTGTTCGAGTTTGATAGGCACAAAGCTCTCAGCCAGGGACACATATCCAGCTTGTGATTCATCTGGAATGAATGGGAGATCCCCAGCCCAAAAGCATCCTCAGAAGAGTCTGGTAACTTTACTTTCTGCATATTATTGCCTCAGGGCACACAGCAGTATAAAATACCAAGAAAGATCTCCATTAAAGATTTACATCCCAGGGAGGAAACAGCCCAGGAGACCCATTACAGAGAAACACACAAAGCTTTCAGAGGCGAGCGGTCTCACAGGTTGCATCATTCACAGATTTTAATTCTCGTAACAAATAAGCAGGAATACTCTACTGATAAAAGCAGAAGTAGCATGTGCCCAGACACAGTACCTGTTCCTGCTCTGCTATTCATGTTTTGACTGCTATCAGAAACTGCAGGTGGCTCCAGACCCAGGTATGCCTTTATCAGGAAGCTCAGCTCTGCAAATGCCTCATCCAATTCATCTGCAGAAAGGGATAAGCATTTGGTGAAAAAACAAGCTTCCATCAGAACAAAGTCACAAATCACAGAAACTGCAATCTTAACTCATGCATTCTGAACTCATCCAGCTCATCTCTGAAAAATCTTCCTCTTCATAAGCAGCACATTCAAGCAAATAATCTGGAATTCAGCTTGAAGTTTCTACACTCTATTCTACAGTTTGGTTTACTGTGTTTTAGGGTGGGTTTTTTTATGCTTTATTTTAACTGTAAGCTCCATAAACCCTTGACAATGACTACAGATAATGTTTTTGTTACCACTATGATATAAATATTTCACCATCACTGTGATGAACTGAAAATTGACCTCAACAAAAGGGCACACGCTGAATGAATTAGAGAAAGATTCCTCTCCACCTTCTGCTGCCCTCAATCCCTTAATATCAAGAAGCAAACACTGGTTTTAATGAAATATTGACCACTCATGCGTTGCCTGTCTCAGGCTGGAAGACTTGAACAAGTTACTAATTAGAAGAGTCCGACAAGGAAAATCATTGCAGCAACCTCTCCTTTATAGCAAGATGCATATCAGCCGTCAATTCAACACTTGAAAAAGTCTATCTGGTCCAGAGATAATTAGATCTGTTAGGTCAAAAGCTCCTCCGACCTCTACTCAGAAGCTAACAGACAATTAACATAAATCACTGAACATCTGTTTGACATTCTTACAGGAGACAACTCTTAGTGTTGCTGAGTTCAATTATTTGGTTTCCTTTCTAGATGGCCTTGAGACAACTTGGACACAAAATAATTCACTCCTGACAAATCTACAGAGTGTTTGGATTCCCGGGACAAAAATGAACACAGCAAATCAATGATGGGATCCACCTGTTGTTGAAACAGTCCATTTAATGCTGTAACATGAGAAGTCAGGTTTAAAGTATAAAACAGATTAACTCACCTGTGCTGATTACCGCATCAAAGTATCCTGGGATGTCCTCACTTGTTCTGATGTACATGCCCACTCTGGATACTGCCTCTTCTATCTCTGGCCTGCTGAATAATCCTGTCCTTCGCAGATGTCCCTCATATTTTACTTTGTTCATTGGTACCACCAGGATATATCTGGGTTTAAAGTAGGTAGTTTTCAAGCTCCGCACACCCTTTAGAATGAAACAGAAAATCACAATGTTTTGTTCCTGAAACCGAGTGTCCATTGAATTTATACCTGAGCTGAGGACAACTTTGTTTATCACAAAGCACTGTAAAAGCAGTACTGGTAACCTGAGTCCAAGATCTCAAGATCCAGAATCCAGCTTGACAAAAGAGGTAAGTTCCAGGTGAAGTGCCACAATGTTTACATGTGATGAATGTAAGAATAGCACTACTTTATTCTAAACACACTTCTAAAGGAATCCCTTCAGTCAAATTCTTACAGCGATTTAAAGCATTATACTTCATCATACTTCTGATTTAGGTACCAATTCTGAACTTTCAACAGCTCTCATTTGCACCAACTCATATATCGAATAATCTTTTTTCTCTCCTTCTACATAAATAAAACAGAATACTGTAACCATGGAGCCCTATAATATGGTATTGCCACTGCTTGTGATACTGAGTTTTCAGGGTTTCAGGACTAAGGCTTGTCCTGCTCCCTCTGGACATCTCTTGACTTACTCTTATCTTTGTTTTACTTGGCTCAGCTGTGACAGCAATTTCTTTTGTTGACCAGATATGGTATCTATCTGATTTTTTTTCTCTTAGTGTAGTTTTATTTAGATAGCAGTAACAAGCAATTGTTCCAGGTACTATGGGATGTTTACAACTGAACATAACAATATAGAGTAGATAAATAAAGGCCTAATACAATAGCAGAGACCTGAAGAAGCCGAGACAGGACACAGTGCAAAGGAGTACAGACACACGACAGTAGCAGATGTGGCAAAGGCCTGACAGTACAGATCTCACAGCAATAAACTGTCAGTAATAGTCATTAAAAAATGCAGATCTGGAGGTGGACAACGCTGGTTAAAGGGGGACAAATTAAAAACAGTGTGTAGCACTGTTTAATAATAGGAATCCTATATAGCCCAGAGCTGCAGACCAGCGATGAAAGAGAAAGGTGTAAATGTATGCTACCAAAAACATAAAGAAGTTCTCAAGATAATCTCAGAAAGAAAAAGAAGCTACGAGCATGAATATTCTCTGAGCAAAGGACTCAAATGTTGACAACTCATTTTAAACCCCCCCTGCTAACAACACCAAAGGCAAAACACCTTTCCCTTTTTAGGGCCAAAATTCTTCAGAGATTACAGAAGAATAGCAAAGGATTGTTTTGACCATTTTGGAAGAACACCAATATCAAGGACTGCCAACAATCATTGTATTGCACAGTGATGAACAAATTATCTTGAGAGCATACATTTACTGCACTATAGAAAATGCAGGGAAGCTTACTTTGTTTTCATTGAGGCATGCTTCTTTGCTACAGTGGGCAGGAATAGAAAGGAACTAATATGACAAAACTGAACACTGTTGTTCCATCAGAACTGAAAGCCACATGCTTAAAGCTGGGGTTTCCTATGATAATTCAATAGTCAAATATAAGCCAAATTATACAACAAGCAGTAACTGGCTGAACACTTACTGGTTTTTAATTTGTTTAGCATGCTAGGTACGGAACTGTATTTTGATACATTCAAACAAGTTTCAGGGAATAATTCTGGGGAAAATCCTATTAATTTTGGTGAAAAATGGAAGGGAGAATTTGGGGCACAAATCTTTGGCTTCTGGCTATGTGGCCACCTACAGACAGCTATGCTTGTAAATTTTCAGAGATGAAACAACCGGCAGAAAGCACCCCTACATTCAAGCCGAGGAACATCCTCCACATCTCAAGCCACACCATGAGTTATGTCTCTTTCTGATCAGGAAGTAACGTAGCAAACAATTTACATGACCACACACTTCATTGAAATAGGAAGGCAGCCCATCAGGGATGGACAGGGAAGAGAAATAAAGAAGCGATACAGAAAGTTCCTGGTGTGCCCAATAAATTTACTACGTGGAGACTATAGGTTGAGTGATTAATGTGAAATGAGAAAAAGTGACCTTAAAATAAAGAATAAGAAAATGCAGAAGTTGAAACTGTTTGAAAGCAACGAGATACTCAGAAAATTAGAAAAAAAGCATTTTGAGTTTCCTGAGATTCTATATGAGAATCATAGAATCACAGAATCATAGAATCATAGAATCACCAAGGTTGGAAAAGACCTAAAAGATCATCCAGTCCAACCGTTCACCTATTCCCAGTAGCTCCCACTAAACCATGTCCCTCAACACAACATCCAGTCTTTCCTTGAACACCCCCAGGCTCGGTGACTCCACCACCTCCCTGGGCATCCATTCCAGTGCCTGACCACCCTTTCTGAACAGTAATACTTCCTCATGTCCAGCCTGAATCTCCCCTGCTGTAGCTTGAAACCATTCCCCCTGGTCCTATCACTAATGACACGAGAGAAGAGGCCGACCCCCAGCTCACCACAACCTCCCTTCAGGAAGTTACAGAGAGCAATAAGGTCTCCCCTGAGCCTCCTCTTCTCCAGGCTGAACATTCCCAGCTCCTTCAGCCTCTCCTCATATGGCCTGTGTTCCAGACCCCTCACCAGCTTTGTTGCCCTCCTTTGAACACGTTCCAGGGCCTCAATATCTTTCTTGCAGTGAGGGGCCCAAAACTGGACACAGTACTCGAGGTGCGGCCTCACCAGTGCTGAATATAGGGGAACAATCACCTCTCTGCTCCTGCTCGCAACACTGTTTCTGATGCAAGCCAGGATGCCATTGGCCTTCTTGGCCACCTGGGCACACTGTCGGCTCATGTTCAGCCGAGCATCAATCAATACCCCCAGGTCCATTTCCTCTACGCAGTCCTCCAGCCACACCGCCCCAAGCCTGTAGCGTCGCCTGGGGTTGTTGTAGCCGAAGTGCAGGACCCGGCATTTGGCCTTGTTGAAACTCATCCCATTGGCTTCAGCCCAGCTCTCCAGCCTGTCCAGATCCCTCTGTAGGGCCTTGCTACCCTCAGGCAGATCCACACTTCCAGCCAATTTGGTGTCATCTGCGAATTTACTGAGGGTGCACTCGATGCCCACATCAAGGTCATCAATAAAGATATTGAAGAGGACAGGCCCCAGCACCGACGCCTGGGGAACACCACTCATGACCGGTCACCAGCTGGATTTGACTCCATTCACCACCACAATCACAGCATCATAGAATGGCCTGGGTTGAAAAGGACCACAATGATCATCCAGTTTCAACCCCCCTGCTGTACACAGGGTCACCAACCACCAGACCAGGCTGCCCAGAGCCACATCCAGCCTGGCCTTGAATGCATCCAGGGATGGGGCATCCACAGCCTCCCTGGGCAACATGTTCCAGTGTGTCACCTCCCTCTATGTGAAAAACTTCCTCCTAATATCTAACTTAAACCTTCCCTGTCTCAGTTTAAGATCATTCCCCCTTGTTCTATCATTATTCACCTTCATAAACAGTTGTTCCACCTCCTGTTCATGTGCTCCCCTCCAGTATTGGAAGGCCACTATGCGACTTTCTTGGAGCCTTCTCTTCTCTAAGTCAAACAAGCCCAGTTCTCTCAAACTTTCTTCATAGGAGAGGTGCTCCAGCCCTCTGATCATCTTAGTCACCCTCCTCTGGACCATTCTAAGAGCCCCAGATCCTTCCTGTTCTGAGGTCAAGAAAGGCCAAAGGGCTACCTGACTTAAAGATGCCCATCCATTTAAAGTTTCTTCAGTTAACAGCATGGGATTATGGAAAAGACATAACTAACATTTACCTAATTTCCTCTGACTCCACAGCCTGGATCTGTAACCAGCATCAAATGCAAAGGAATATGATCTTAGGGAGGAGACAAGGTGTACAAGGTGGAATCGTTGCCCAGTTCAAGAAAAGGGTAGATGCCACACTAAGGGACAAAGCTTACTGGGCATGATTAGGACAGGTTGATGGTTGGACTAGATGATCTTTGTAGTCTTTTCCAACCTTAATGACCCTATGATTCTGCTTACAGTCCTGGGAGCATAATGAAACATGTGAGCCATTCTGACACTAAGCCCTCAGCTGGAACATGCAGCTCCTCTGTTACTATCCAGATATTCATGGCTGCACAAGCAAATGAAAAGCACTGCAAACGTGCATACTGTGTGTCAGAATTGCAGCAGCTTCACTAACTGCAAGTGTGGACTCAGTGAGATATAAATGTTAAAATCTGCGTCAGTCTCCTTTATCAGTAAAAGATATACTGTAGATTAAAGGGAATGTACAGCTCTAAATTTTTAGTCTCAGCCTATGGACCATAATTAAAATTTCTTTTAATGGTGCTAAATCACTTTTGTTATGAGCCTAGCAGAAGATAATGGAGTTGGATAATTTCTATTCAGGTACATAACTCACCATTATTGTTTCTCATCTGCTAGAAGAGTCCACAGTGATACGAGAGTGCACATTATAACTATGTGACCTCAAAACTTCAGTGACAAAGGAATTTCTTAGCTGTCTGTCCATTCCAACAACTTCAGTAATACCCAGAGGTGTAGTAGTATCTATGAACTTGTAGCAATCCCTTAGAGGTAGAGCTAAGCCCTACAAACACAGTGAAACACAGAAATATTCAGTATCATGTTTTGGGCACTCCGTAGAGTCTCTTGTTCTGGAAACTTATGTAGATAGACGGAGCTTTGGATTTTAGCAGCAAATGAAGCCTGCCTTTCCTCTTTGTTTCCTCAACCCTTGCCTAGTATACCATCTAAGGTAATGAAATGTTCTTAATTAGAGAGCGAGGTAAAATGTTGTTATTTGGGGATTCCAATAGATGGGTTTTGGCACATTGTTGTGACTTTGTTTCCTAACACAGCAAGACTTTTGAGATTCTGCCATCTGTGCATGTGCACCTGACAAATCTCAAAGAAGGTAAAATAAACCCTTACAGAGATTCCATCTTTTAACCGTTCTGCCCCAAATATTGCTCCTCTGTTGCCTCATCAGGAAAGGAGAAGCATGGCATTGTTTTAGAGAATGTGCAGCTCTAGACCACTCCCTCTCTAAGCTGGGGATAGGTGGAAAGAACATGGATGAAAAGTTGAAGATACCATAACGGAAATACCAATGACATGGAGGGGAGATAAGGTGACTGAAGATGGGAAAAATTGATTAAGAAATTTTAAGATGCCAGCCATGGGGTGCACATGACTAAATGTGGGTATCTGTAAAGGAAATGGTAGGTATTGTTTCATGCATAGACAATAGAGAGCTACTTGATGCAAGCAGAGGAATTAAAGATACCATTCATTCAACTCAAAGAGTGCATTTCCAATGACACTAAAGAAGCCCAAAGAAGTCACTGAAATCCATCCAAGGAACCTGCTTTGGCAGGGGGGTTGGACTCGATGATCTCTGGAGGTCCCTTCCAACCCCTACGATTCTGTCTGTGATTTCGTGATTCTGTGATCCACAGCAGGCCTGGTGTAAGGCCTTAGGATGCCTCTAAAGTCACTAAGTTGATAGGTCTAGGCTGCTGAAACAAACCTTAGTCAAACTGCATGAACTCCTCCCCACAGCAGTTCTCACAAAATTATTTATTCAAAAATGTTAAAGCAAGATCAATTCTTACCTCCAGTTCTAAATGAATACATGTCGCAAGACCCTCTCTGGCAATTGAATCCACAGTGTCTCTTCCAAGTCCATAGTAATAGCCACTGTATTTATAGGTTGCTATAAACTTCCCCTGAAATTCAAAACAGTGAGTATAATGACAAAGGAAGTACTTTAATGAAAACTCTTTCTTAAAGGAGCATAATTACTGTGAACTTCTTAGCTTGCTTTACCAACAGATTTTCTCTCTGACTAAATCATCAATGATAATAAGGCCAGTGGGAACACAACATTTGCAGAGAAGAGCACATAGCTAGCCTGCAGGGTATGGGTTTATATGCTGTTCATGGATAATAAAACACCAGAGCCTTGAAAACAAGCTGCTGACAGGTTACAGCTTTCATTGGTTATTCATTCCCTCTGTAAAAAAGCAGGATCTAAAACGAAGGGGCATCCTTTTTTTTGACAATACATCAAACCATATGGCTATGCCAGATAAAATGGGAGATGCCAAAGAAAAGAGGACAGAAACAATCCTGCAAGGAGAATGCATAATTGGCCAAGACATTTCAAAGTTAATACCTAACAACTGAAAATTTGGTTTCTAGCAGTATTTCTAGAGAAATGTAAGCAAAACTGCTTGGTTACTGAGAGTTACTATTAAGAACCATTAAAATCAGTCACTTAAGACTGTGTTGGCTCCCTTGTTTGCACATGTACAAATAATGAGCTCTGTTGTGGCTTTTCAAGCCAAAATTTTATTGCAGGCAGCAAAAGACATCAGAAACAATAGCTGGAGGCACAATGCCTTCAGGGGGAATTTGCTAAAATTCAAAAGACTGCATTCCCTGCAGGGTTACTAGAAAATTTAGAGTGGAGATGACAGATATTTCATGAATTTATGTTTCTTGTACCCGCATTAGATACTTGTACATGCAAATAAGATTATTTCTACTTTATAATGCTATTTAAAGATTCCTACTGACCATTAGGCCTGCTGAATAGCTCCTATGTATGCATACAGAAGAAGAGACAACATAAATATACAATGAACTTTTGGTTGTTTTATATGAGCTTTCATATTCATTCACATAACTGTGAATGATGACTTGGATGGAAAAGTTGAGTTAACTCTGTAGCAAACAGTCCTGCCAGAATACTAGTGAGGCACTCACCGCTTTCAACATTTTGTCAAATGCTTCTTGAGAAACAAAATGATAATCAAGTCTGTTTTCTTCACCAAAGTAAGCTGCCCTGGTGGTGTGACAGGGACTGGAAGATAAATGGTGTAATAAAGAAAAAAACTGTTTTCAATCACAGAAGCAGCCATGGGATAGGAAGGGGGGAAAAAAAAGGAAGAGTTCTACAAATCATTTTATTTTTAAGAAGAGAAGAAATATGAGAAATATAAAGAGGTGCAAATCATACCACTAATGCTGCATGTTTGAAAGATTAACTCATAAATACACACAAAAAAGTTTAAATGTAACATTACATTTTGGCTATAAATCCCCTCCAACCCAGGATAGCCAGAGCTGAAGCTGTCATAGCACCCTGTAATAGAGAAATGATGAAACCATTTTTTCCCAGTTATGTCAGCTTGTGAATGATATAAAGTAGAATCCTGAATACAGAAAAGGAGACCAGGAATTAGGCTGAACTGTGAGGTTAAGAAAGAGATACAAAGACCAATCTTCAAATAGTGCCCTAATATCGAGAGGAGATACAGTCCTGAAACTAGGGAGATAAGTGGGACGCAAGGCAAGAAAAGTAATTGCCTGTCACCATGTAAGGATAATGGGATAAGCCTCAGAAATGGGAACTTAACTACCAGAAAAAAAAACCAAAAAAAAAAACCAAAAAACACTAAAACAAGATCAGTCCAAAAAGCTCCGGCTAAGTCAATGCATGTAGCAATTTTGGATTAAGCTTGGATTAATACCAGCTTTGCTATTCAGTGGCTCATGTTCTTAGGAAATGATATTTTGCTAATTGTTTCTGGTTTGATTTTGCTTCTAATTTTCACATTGTTGGATAACAGGAATAAAAGCATGACATGGAATTCACGCTGACAGCATTTTCTCCTTAACTGCTGTTGGACTGTTTTGGAAAATATGGCAAAAAAAAACATACCATGCTAGTATACCACCTACTGGGTTCACCCACATTGCCACATTTCTGGAGAAAGTTTTAATAGGTTTTCAAGAGACAGGGAGAGGTAACTTAGAGATTAGAGCTGGAAGTGATAGAAAACCAGAAGCCACTTCATACCAAGTCAGTATTGTCTAAAACATGGGCCAAGGACTCAACTCTTGTTTTTCTAGCCTAGGATTTGCCCAGAGCATTGCTATTCCGAGTCATTAATTTTCTTTCTTTCTTTTCTTTTCACATCAGGAAGCAATGGCAAATGAGAACAACGTGCTACACATGGAGTCTGTAAAATAGCACTTCAAAGGCTTGATTTTTTCTTAAGATACTATGAACGCATCCAGCTTTAAAGGTCAATCCTGAGCACAAGCTAGATGGTTTGAGGGTCTAATTTCACTTTATTTTTTGAAACACTTTTAAACATTACAACCCTTTTTAATTGCAAAGCCATGTTTACATTCAAACTGCTAGAGTATCTTGCATGAAATACATTTTTAATGAGTGGAATGTTTGAAATTTAAAAGAGTAAGCCATAAAATTGCTTAAATCTCCACTGAATAATTAAAATACAACTTTGCTTTATGGTTGCAATTATCTGCTCTGTTAAGATTCTGTCTCTATTTCCCTTCCCCCTCCTCCCCCCTTGTGCATAAAACTTTTAGGAAATAAAATAGTATAAACAGTATAAAAACAATGCTCCTGAAAAAAAACAAAGCAAAACAAAACTCAACACACAGTGCTTAGAAAATTTCAATTGACATTCAATTAGCGTGTAATTTCCCATCTCATCTTTCAAAACACAGCAGTTTTTTGGGTTTTTTTTAAGATAAAGAAAATACATTTTTCTAATTGCATAACCCTCTCAGGTCTTCTCTTACAATGTCCTTTTGATTCGCCCATTTATAGCCATGTGCTGGATTGGGTCATTAATCTGAGAACAGTGCAGGAATGTAAGCTTCTTCACTGTGGAATATTGTGGTAGCCAAGAAAGGTATATCAGATATTGAGAGATGTGGTTTAGTGGGCATGGTGGTGATGGCTGGACTGGATGACCTGTTTTTCAACCTCGATGATTTTATGTTATTACAACAACATGCAGATTGTGGTTCCATGATGTTGGGAAACTGAGAAATATTTCTCAAATATTCACATGCCCATGGTCCATTTCTTACAAATTATGCTCAGTATGACAGCATGAATATGGATCCAAGATATTGTGGCAAATACCATATGTACGAAACTATGGCCAAGGTATGATTCAAAAAAATTAACAGACAAAATTGTGTGATTATAAAAACAACAAACAATTCAGGAAGAGTGACAAAAATAGAGGAGAGATGGTATAAGAGGCATACAGGGATTCAGATCAGTGCCATATAGCGCACAGATCTATATGAGGATCTCTGGAAATTAGCTACCATGAATAATGAGGTGAGTAGACAAAAGGAACAGCTTGTACCACCTAGTTTCAGGTGCCAGACAGTGATGATTTGACTTAGCCACAATTCCTATCCATGGGCACTGAGGAAAGGTATGTGATTCACAAAAGCTGAATCCCCTCTGGATAGAGCTGGTTTCTCTCCACTAAATACACAGGGAGCCCAAGGCAGAAAGGATCCTAATTCAGGCCTTTCAGAGTGGGAGAATTACTCCTCCCAGCAGGTGGTGAAGGCTGCAAAGTGCCATTTACTTTGATAGCACTACTTGCAAGATAATAAACTGGTCCAGCAATTGCACTTGCTTCTTGCCTAGCTTCTGGATGCAGCGTGCACATGCATGCTAATGTGTTTACATGCAGGTACGTTATAAAAATTTAAGAGAAATGGATACGTATCTAAACAGATGTTTAGACTGAAGGGCATGTGTGAGAGTAGATAGAACAGATCAATAAACAGAGCATAAATGACACTTTTTTGTTTGCTTCCTTGCCATTCACCTTTGAAAAGAACAAGACAATTTAAATGGCATTTCTTTTAAAGAAAGTATCTGATGACTTCAGGCAATTAAGCACTACAAAGAGATAAAATGCACAGCTACTAACATTTATTGGTTGTATTTAACTTTTAACTTCTTTGGGGAAAAAAAAAAAAAAAAAAAAAAAACAATAAAAAACCCCAGCAATTTAAGTCTTGATCTCTGTGTTCTTTTAACCTCAAGGAGTGAACTTACCCATATCTGAAGAAATTATTGAACTGTCTGCAGATCCTATGAGCAAGCTCTCTCTTCCCACAGGCGAGAGGGCCAACCAATACCAGCATGGGGTAGGGAGCATCGAGACTAGGGAGAGTGCTACAAGAAAGGAAAACAAGGAGGCATTAGGTTAGTTGGAAATAAAGTCTTCACAACATTGCATAAAGCTTCTGCAGAGACTTCATCATCATTTCCACTAATTTCCTCTATCAATCACGATATTCACATTGTTCACAGCATAGATTAAGATGAGGAAAAGCATGTGCTCAATTTGACACACTCTAAACATAAAAACAGAATAGAATGCTACAATAAAGACCCCTGGGTCTCTTTTGCTGAGGGTATAATATTATGTGTACAATATCTTCTCTGATTTACAGTCTTTTTGAAGTTGCCTCTGCAGTTATGGCATTGCTGGGTTTTGTTAAGAGTTTTCCAATTCTATTGCAGGGATGGTAATATTTTAATGATCGGGACAATAAACCTGGAGTGAACCCCAACTCAGTCCTACAAATCTTTATGTGCTCCTGCATATATTCTTGCTAACCTTGCCAGATGAAGGTAGTAATTTGTGAAGAGTTCTTCAGTTCAGTACAATGAGAGACACTAAGAAACTTAAACTCCACTGAACACAAATAACACTACAATGAAAGAAATCAAATCATTGCAAAAACACAAAGCCTTCACTTTAGGTCCATCTTCTCCATGCTGTGCAGATGGTTTGATTCTTGAATTTTCTTTTCCAGCTTTAAATACTGGAATAAATGGTATTTCTGCATTTCTGAAAGTCCAGCAATTTAGGGATATAAAAATAGAATTCAACTTTAAACTCTCATTTTTTACTCTCACTTGGGCTGTAAGATCGTGCCACTTGATGACATGTCAAAAATAGCTGAAATGATTTCAGAAACACACGTTTTTAACTAATGAATAGCTTTAAAACAACTTCAATTTTAAAGGAAGAAAACCACCTCTGTGCACTAGGATTACATTTAATGTGATTTACAGCAGGTGAGCATAAATTCCTGAAAACAGATTCCTTTCTTTTAACTCTTCCCTTGCACAGGACAAGATCCACAAGAAGTAATGATGGCCATCAAACACAAGCATGGGGAGAAATAACTAACTAAATAAATAAATGAAATCACAGTAATAGCTTTACCTCTATTTAGGTTCAACAAAACAACTCCATCTTCTACCAGATTATACGGATGTAATGTGACTGAATGTTTGAGAAGCACTGAGATAATAATGTAATTCAGTCTCCTAGTTCTCCAGTGAAGTAGATAAATACTACCCTCACAGAAGACATAGCACACACACACCTAATAAATTGGCTGGCTTGAGGCTGTATATATGTGGGGTTACTAAATTGTAAAATGAAGTAAGACCCTGCTCCAGTGCTCCATTTACTGGACTAATTTCAAGCAAGAGAGCAGCAGCACCATTTGGAGACCTAAGGTTGTTTTGGTTTTGTACATAAATGTACTGTGACATTTACAAAAATTAGACAACATTGACACAATAAGCTTATTAGCAGAATCATAGAATGATTTTGAGTTGGAATGGATCTTTAAAGGTCATCTAGACCAACTTCCCTGCAAGGAACAGGGACACTTACAGCAAGATCAGGGCCTATTTACTTGGGATTGTCACTCTCTCTAAATAAATTCCCATTACTAGAACAGAGAACATATCTTCACATTCCTTGGCTTTATTGTTTCCACAGTACTATCTCTCATTACATCACCACTTACCTATTTTCAGAAGTTTTGGTTTCGCTAAAATGTAAAAGCAGGATCTGGTAAGGAGTTCTTGGTTTATTTAATGTTCATCTTTCAACTTCCTTTAGTGAGTAGAGCAATACACTGCTGTGAACAATTAATAGATTTCAAGGCCAGAAGGGACTCATGATCATCTAGCCAGATCCCCTTCATCATACTGGCTCCCCAAGTCAGTTCTTGTTTCAAGCCTGACGCTGAGGGTTCTGTCAGAGCATATTTTAATTAAAACGTTCCAGTTGTGGAGATTTCTTAGTACCCATGGTAAATTGTTCCAGTGGTTAATTACATTCATTGTTTAAAATAATCCTGCCCTCTTTTTTCTCTGAATAAATTTATCCTCAAAAGCCAGATAGTAAGTCTCATCATGTGCTTGCCCAATAGACTGAAGAGCCCTCTGTTATTAAATTTCCACTCCCCCCACAGCAGTTATAACTATGTCAAGCCACCTTTTTAAATGTCACATGCATTTAGAGTCAGGGAAAAAATATACATAATATTGTTCAGTGGTCTGTTACTATGTAATTAAAGATAGCATCAGCAAGCACACAGAGAGGGAATGGCATAAGTAACTTATGTTAATATTTTCTGACTGGAGTAAGTAACAGTATAACCTTTTCCTTTGATTTCAGGCTTTATTTTTAATAGAAATAGTATAAAACCAGAATTAATTATAAGCTCATCTAACAAGATCGATGCAAATGAACTACACCAATCTTGTTCCAGTAAGCAGTTTATAGCGTGGAAGACAGCAACGTATCATCATTAGGAAGATTTCATTAATGACTGTGTTGTGTATTTTCCAGATGAGCATAGGCAAACACTCGAAGCATCATTAACAATTTTGGTCAGTAGCATAAATATTGCTTTGCTTATTTATATGTTTGTGTACACGATGCCTCTGACAGAGTTGTTCCTTTCTAGCAATGAAGACACACATGCACAATCCAATAAACAAATATTTAAATAAGGCCTATGTCTGCATTGGAAGAAATCCATGCCTTTAGGTAAAACTACTCTTTTTGGTTTGGTTGGTTGGCTTTTCTGTTTTTTTTTTAATAGGCTGATACAAATTCTCAGAGCTATCATCACCACAGGGATAGTTCCTATCTGTCATCATCAAGCCCAGAAATAAAACCAGCTTTACAATACAGACATCTAAAAATGTAAATTAAGTCACTGAATCATGGATCTTGAATCACGTTACTTAGCTATGAATTAAGATGCCCATAATGATGCTAAGACAGGATGTTGGGCACAAACTGATTTCAACACCCACTGTAGCTGATAAAATAACAAACCACTTATATGTCATTGTATCCTCCATCAGCATACGTCAAAGCACTTTCCAAACTTATCAAGCAACTATCATAATTCGTCTACAGAACAGCAAAGTATGCTGATTTCCATTTTCTAAATGAGAAATAAGACAGAATGAAGTCACCTGGCATGACAATGGCAATGTCAGAAAAAGAACATTGATTTGCTTCTCCCTTCTGTTCTTTAAATGGCAGACAGCATCATCTCCTCCCACGGGCACAAGTTGGACTTCCTTAAGTACAAACTTGAAAATTTTGCCTTATGAATACAGAAACGTGTCCCAGAGCCACAAAATAAAGCCATTCTGCTCACACCGGTACGCCAGTAGCGTGAAGAGGAATAAGCAGAACAGGAAGAAATGTTTTACAGCTCTCTTCTCCCTCTAGAGACTTTCAAATTGCCTTTTAGAAATAGAAATTTTACATCTCTCATTTATGGTGCAAATGGCCATCTGTTTCAACAGATTGTTTAAAAGAAATGGAGTTGTGGACAATCTGTCTCCGACTTCAGAGGTGAATGACTAACTTCATTTCATAATCCATTTCAACCAAACAAGATCTGCCTAATTTGCAGACTGCTAACAGAATGCGATGGAACATGTCCTCTTCATTAGATTAATTTAAAGGTGGGAGAGGGACGGAAAAATGTCCCTCTAAATATGCCAACATATTCTGCTTTACATGAGTGCCACCCTCAGGAGCAGATGTGAAGTGGAGGTAAGCTTACCTGTCAAAGATTCTCTGGGGCTGCAGCATGCTATACATAAGCTGAGTCATATGATCTTTAGCAGCAACAACTTCTGGAGGAGGATCATATTGATTCACAGCATCAACCTGTCTCCAGAGTTTAGGGACAAAAGAAAGAAGAAGGGCAGTGATGTAATTGTTTCCAACTGCAATACGTTTCTAAGATCACTATGAAGAAAGAGGGCTTCATTCTTTTGATGGTCAGTCTTTGCATTTGGCTTGTCTACACTCTGCTACATAAATGTTTTGGGGAGATTTAAACACAGTCTGATAGATGGATGGAAGGTAGCCAGAAGTAGCTCACCATCGTTAATATATTCAACCTTTTACTGGAAAGAAAACAGGATGCTACATAAGACACAAGGTAATTCTGCTTAGGTTTTAATTATCCATTAATTTGCATCCTTTCAGTGCTGGTGGAAGATGCCAAATTAAAATCCTTGGGGACTGAAGCCATTCATTTATTTGTTAGAAGAGAAACAATGGGTATTAACAAAGTAAGCAAACTGCAATTTTCTCCTGACAAAGCATTTCTGCCTTTCCTGGGAGGAAGAGCATTGAAACTACAAGGATTCTCCCTATTTATTCTATTGAAGGTACTGACCTCTAATGGGCTGTATTTATTTTATTTTACTTTTTTTGTTATTAATGCTTGCCTCTCCTACAATAACCTGAGGAAAGGATTTTTGAAGTAACTTCAACCACACAAAAGTTGTATGCTAGTCTCAATCAGTCATCTAGGCTTATTCTTACAGTCCATAAAGAAAGAAAGATTTCTTGAATATATGTGTGTGGAAGGAAAGCAGATTGTCACATGAGACAAAGAATAAGATCAACATCTCTGGTATCATCCATTCATACTCATGATAGCAAGAGGCTGGCATTAAACAAGAGCCTTGATCCCTGATGTTTATGCAGCTGAAGTTAGGAGTGACGTATTTCCTGCAAGGATCCTTTATACGTTTTTTTTTAAGAATGCTTCCCTTAAATCCAACACCAATATGCAACTGTTAACCCTAGCAGTTCTAGATATGGCAGCACTAGAAGAAAAGTTTACAATAGAAAGTTACTGTAAGCAGTCTGAGGATTTATCTAAGGGAGGAAGATTTTACAGAGAAAATTGTATTGAGTAGACCTGGAAACAAATATCATTATAACATCCAGAATACATCATAAAAGAACACATTATAACCACAGCTGCTAAGTAAATATTCTGCACAGAAAGGCTGTGGATGCTCCATCCCCGGAGGTGTTCAAAGCCAGGTTGGATGGAGTCCTGGGCAGCCTGGTCTACTATTAGATATGGAGGTTGGTGGCCCTGCCTACGCTGGGGGAGGTTGGAGCTTCATGATCCTTGGGGTCCCTTTCAACCCAAGCCATTTCATGATGGCTTTTAGCTAAGTTTTGCATTTTCACTTACATGCACATGCTCCATATCTGGATTTAGAAGCAGAAGTCTGTGAATTTGTAGTCTATCATGTAGTCCGAAATATGGGACACCCATCACATTCAAATGACAAAAATCCTATATTTGCATGCACAGCTGTTCAGGTTTTTTGTTTGTTTGTTTGTTTGCTTGCTTGTTTTTGTATTTGCATTCTTTACTTAGAAAAAAATCAGAATGATACACTCACATACCTTTTCTTCCACTGAAATATTCTTGAGATCCAGTTCCGTTAGTTGTTGCAACATGAAAATCACCAAGAGCCAATAATCTGTTTGTTCCTGAAGGAAAAAAGAACCTAGATTCATCAATCTAATATTTAATATCTCTCAGCTGAAATTAAATTGGTTTTAATACAGTGTGATATAAGAAGACTGCTGGAGAACCAAAAGCATTATCTATTCTGGGACTACATGATCATCTATGTCTAATACTTCCAACCTTAGAAGGACTGCAGGAACTTTAGAAGAGAATTTGCATTATATAAGCATTTATAACAATGAATTTAAGTCTGGGACAATAAAAATGAATAATTAAAATTCAAATAAAAAGTTGACACCAATAACCAAAACTCAAATGGCTGTCTTAAGGTGATTGTTGTTCATGTAAGCTATTAAAACAGTAATTTAAAGGAATAAGATCAGAATCTGCTTAAGAGAAGGTCATATAAAGAGAAAAAGGTTTTCAGTACATGGAGGGGCGTGGGACAGCCTATCTCAAAAGAAGAGTCAAAGCAAAGTTGAGCAGTTGAGATGGAGAGGATGTGTTTTCAGCCATTGTTTTGGCTTAACTAGCCTACTCTACTTTTAATTGGTAATAAATGAATCTTCCCCCAGTCAGGTCTGTTTTGCCTGTGATCATGATTGGTGACTTATCTCCCTGTCCTTATTCTGAATCATGAGTGTTTTAATCTTATTTTCTCCCCATCTTGCTGAGAAGGGGAAGTGAGAGCATGGTTTGGTGAGCAACTGCAGGAGAACCAAGGTCAATTCAGCACCATCTCAAACAACCTAGAAGTCACAAAAGTCAGGAGAGAGTCATCTTGGATTACTGAGGACAAGTTACAAATGCAAAAGTCAGTATATCTGACATTTTGTGAATCATAAAATCGTTAAGGTTGAAAAAGACCTTCAAGATCAGCTAGTCCAACTGTCCACATATTACCACCATGCCCACTAAACCACATCCCTCAGTGCCACATCTACACATTTATTGAAAACCTGAGTAAAACAGATGTTTAATTCATTAGTTGAGGAATATTAAGGGAGCCATAAACGAGGACTGAGTAAATCCTGGATGAAAAGATGATAGAGATTCCAGAGACACATTATTTGAAAAGGGCTACTATTAAGTTCCTTTCAGCTTTTCTCATGAACAAGACAGTACCTTCAAAGCAAACAAAAGTAGGATCTTTTACAAAAAAAAAAAAAAATCATTGCATACTATGAATACAAAGGTATTAACAAATTGATCAAATTCATGGATTTATTGTGTGAATATGAAACATGATACATTTGTAGCTTTGGCTAGGAAGTTCCCAAAGAAAGGTGGGTAAATATGCTGGCAGTTCTAACTGCTCATCACTACTTTGTTCCTAATCTTCACTCCCTGAGATGACCTGGCTACTCTCAGAGACAGAAAAGGAATCTAAATGGAATCTAGTGTGACGCAAAACAGCAGCTCTAGGTTCATATTTTTGCCTTCATTTTTACTTTCTTCTTACCTGCACAGGATTTTTCAAAAGATTTAAAGCCCTGAGGAGAGGCAGATCTTGAATACTTTCAAGTTCACTCAGCTCAGCAATCTAATTAGCAACAAAAACAGAACATAAATTAGCAGCAACAGAGTCAATGATAACTATGGGGAAAAAAAAAGTTTTTCATTCCTGCTCCTAAAATCTGGAAATAAAGAAGTCATTATACTCACAAACTGGGTATACATGTTAACTGCATTCAATAAGGCATTTTCAGCCACAAAAGGCAGACAACTTGGATGTTAGCTGGAGAAGCAATATAACACAGTAATTTCGAACCACCTGCGTTTTTCCCGTTCTTTCAAACGTCAAGCCATAACACATTTAACTTTTATGTGGCTGATGTGCTTAAGTGAGGCAATTCTGCAGTTATATTTGTGCTTCATGACTAGCGAAAATAATTCCTTCTAAGGAGATTTTCTTTTCACTGAAGCTCAAGTAAGAACACCCTATCTAACTTGCAGCACTTAACTGAAAAGCATCAGCATACTTATTCTTACCTCTATTTATGTCCAGAGGGTAATGCATCCCACTTAACGTCTCATCTGTTCACAAAGAAAACCTTGGTTGGCTGCACTCAGCCATAGCCATTAAGCTTTAGAAGTTACGTGGGACTGACCAAAGCTTGTGTGCCCAAAGTGAAGTCACGCCAGTGGCACTCAGTGAACACTTGTAAGGCTATCAGTTAAAACAAAGTGGGTAAAAAGGAATTCCTTCTGACTCATTTTAACCATCTGTAAATTAATTAGCCCAGATCAGCCACTTAACAATTTCACTTTATAATCAGTGGAAAAAGACAGTTTCAGAGGACATGACCCATGCAAGGCTGGGATGAATGGAATTCTAAAGAAACTAATTTTCCTTTAAATGCTGGAAGACCGAACCATCCCCATGTGTTAGTTAGTTTATGTGAGGTTCCTAAAAATATAAATCTCAACCACACTCAATTTAATATTCCTTCCGAGATAACAAGCCCCCTGCAGAACAATTTTGACTAGGTTGTCATTTGAGTGGATTTCCCAGATAAGTCATAGAAAACCAACAGTCCATAACTGAAAACCCCTAAATATGTACAGGTTATATATGGGTTATACATGGGGCACCCAGCATAAGAAAGACAGGGAGCTCTTGGAATGGTCCAGAGGAGGACCACTAAGATGATCAGAGAGCTGGGCACCTCTCCTAAGAAAAAAGGTTGAGGGAATTGGGCTTGTTTGACTTGGAGAAGAGAAGACTCCAGGAGATCTCACTGTGGCCTTCCAGTATTTGAAGAGAGCATATAAACAGGAGGGGGAACGGCTGTTTATGAGGGTGGATAGTGATAGGACAAAGGGAAATGGTTTTAAACTTAGACAGGGAAGGTTTAGGTTAGATATCAGGAGGAAGTTTTTCTCACAGAGGGTGGTGACACACTGGAACAGGTTGCCCAAGGAGGTTGTGGATGCCCCATCCCTGGAGGCATTCAAGGCCAGGCTGGATGTGGCTCTGGGCAGCCTGGTCTGGTGGTTGGCAACCCTGCACATAGCAGGGGGGTGAAACTCAATGATCATTGTGGTCCTTTTCAACCCAGGCCATTCTGTGATTCTATATATAGATAATGATATATGTGAGAGCTATATACTGCAGATAAACCTACTGTCCTCATTGGCCAACTGACAGCATGTGGGATTATTCCAGAGAGATAATTCCACCTTGTGGATGCAGAAGTGAAATAAAACATTGAGAGTTCTGTCCTATGTCTGCTGACTGGCCTTACAGATCTGCAGAATATCATGTCCACCCAGCTCTCCAGAGACACCAAGCAGCTGGCATCCTACTCTTACCACAGATGCAGGCAGACCAATGTAACTTTACCTTGGAACAATGAGTTCCAGTGAGAACCCTTAACACAGCTTTTTTAGACAGATAAAACTTGAGGCTAAAGCAACTGTGCCAATATTCTCTTTACATTATTCTGCAGAAAGAAATGTTCAAAAATGGTGACTCATTAAACAGCTTCAACAACATCATTAACAGAGGTAGGTTTTGATGAGGCAAAATTAATAGTTCCTACGTGCCGTGAAGAACAGTAGAATCTATATGAGGCAATGGAAGTGGCGTTATTAATACTAATTACAGCTACACCATTAGATAGTTTCCTGTCTTGTGTAATTTCAAACACTGATGCACCTTGAAATGTCAACCTGAACACATCATGAGAAAAAGAATTCATAGTGTACTGTATTCATCTTCTCTTATAAATGTATCTTGCGTGGGGAAAAATTACAGAAAATGTTCAGTTCCTGGTTTATACTGTTATTTCTCATTTTCTTCTTTTTTTTTTTTTTTTTTTTCCACATGCAGATCTATCTTTGATGTCAGAATGAGTCATGAATTGACAGTCTTTTCAGCTAGAGACTCCAGGAACTCAACATCAAAAGGATTAGGCATACGTAGCCTGGGTTTCAAAATTCAAATACAAATGAGTTGGATTGTATCATCGTACTCCCTGTGAAAATCTTGCTGCAGAACAAAACACAATTTATAGCAGAGTACACGCAGTTCTGCCTTACAGAAACGTACCACTTGAGAGCTCAGAAGAATCTGTGGTCATAAAATCAGGCTGAGAGATATTAGCAAACCCTCCCGACAGTAGGAAAGCTGTGATGTAAGTAAAGATCCTCAAGAATAATCAAACTGAAAAAAAAACACCAATACTCACCTCTATCATATCTACACAAGGGAATTGTGTTAGGTCTTTATGTACACGAGCACTAAAAACAACAGAAGTGATCCTTATATAACAATAAACCTGGAGATGTCAAATAAAGCCTGAGGAATATACTACTAATCAACATGTGAAACAATACTGGAGCAAAACATCGAAGGAAAAATGGCATCTTATCTAATATTCCTTTCTTGGAGTATTGTAAGATTCACTGTTTGACGTTTCTAGGGATTGGATTTAAGGAGAAACAAAAAAGGATGCATTCTCAGAACAAGTTGAGATCAATATTAAATATGTTACCTTGTTATCCTCTAGATTGATCACCTCTAGTAAATCATGTCCCTCCAAGCCTTCTAGAGTAGCTATTTTATTGCTAGAAAGGTCCAGCTTCCATAGAGTTTTCAATCTATCCAAGCCGGTTATCTTCTCAAGCAGGTTAGAGCTCTAAGGATACAGGAAAACATATGAAGTCTGATGAAGTTCTACAGATGGGAAACAACATCTCTGAGGAAGAGCAGTGTTCACTTTATTATTGAGAATCCTATTACAAACAGGCCTTTTATGCATTGGCCCCATCATGAGATGACATACTGCAGCTCTCCATACTCCTCAAGGAGAAAAGAACTACCTTCTGATTAACTTATCTTCTGCTTACCATGAACAACAGTAAGTGACAACAGCAGTATAAAAAGAGCTCTAGCATTCTTTTTGAGATCATACTGCCTAGAGAATACACTTGCCACCATCAAACTCAAATTTAGAAAATAGATATACACATAAAAATATAGAATACATACAATATACATACATACAATTTCCCTCTATAATTGTGGTTATATTTACATTTATGATTAGAGAATAAATAATGAAAATATTAAGGTAGAACAAAACAGTACTGCCTTCTTTGGGCTACAGGCAATCTATAAAATCTCTTTGGGATACACAAGTTCATTAATATGTACAAAGTGAAGACAGACTATTTGCTGTCAGTGACAGCATGCCCTGAAATGTTCCAATAAAAACCCCTACCTACCTCTACTGTAAATTCACCTGGACAGGAAATTACCCAAGCTTCTGGGAACTCAAGCAATTATCATTGTTTTACATTGCTTCCAAACAAGTTACAAGATAGAAAACTATATTAATCACGGGACACCAGATGGCTTCATTTCTCTGGACCCCACAAATCATACACTCATTCCTGCTAAACTCTAAACAGACACAACATGCAGGATTCTCCACTCATCTCTGTCTCAGTGGCTACATGTACCCAGATGGCCTCTCAACATGATTCTCTCCCTATAACCTTGCAAGTTATATTTTTCCATCAGCATCACCTTGTGCTGAAACCTTAGAAGCCTCATATTCTATTTATAAATATTTAGGAACTGTTGAAATAAATAAGCCAGCTGACTCTAATGTTAATCCAGTTGTCTGTCCTTGACATTTTTCCTGACTTTTAAATCTTTAATTAGGTTATTAATAGCATGGAAGCACTCTCTTCCTGTATGCTGTTAGACCTCCTTAATAAGATAAAGCTCAGAGTTCTAGTTGCAAAATGCTATGCAAGAGGTACACATAGAATTCTGTGAACAAAAGAGATTTTTGTAGAGGTCCTTTCTTGCTAAGCATAAAATTCCTAAGAGTCCAGTTCATTAGAGTTGCACTTGTTATTTTTTGCAAGCTTAAGCAGAACAGAGGTTTTTTTGCAATAGTTAGGCAGTATTTACAGTTTCTGAAGTCTTTCTTCCAAACTTCAGACCTTTACTACTCTTTCAACCTGAAAGCTCAGTAGAAAATAGAAAGGGAATCTGAATCAATGGGTAGAAAGGGGGAAAAAAAAGAGAGGAACTGCATCTTGTTCTAATTAGCAAAAGAAAACGCTACGTTAAAATCTGTCTATTTACATAATTTTCACAACTATCTACTTTGCTAATTAAAAAAGAGAAGCAGTTGGATAAATAATCGTATCAGCATGTAAGAACCCAAACTGAAGAACGTGTTCATATTAATAAGCCTTAGCTGTTAACACGATCTCCAAAGCACTTTACAGGGCAGATAACCATTACTAACAGAATTATTATTAGGCCTTTTAACAGACGAGGAAATCAAGGTACACAATGGCTAAGCAATTTAGTAGAGAGGAGTTATTTAGAGAGAAGATTTTCCTGTCAGCTTAGATTTTTGTATTCCTATAGTTCATTTCAAAACTTCTAGACAAGATTTTGCCAATCTTTTCCACTAAAAATTAGAAAAAAATAGTATTATTGCCACTGAAGGCATTAGATAGAAATATAAATCCATTAAAAATATAGTGCTGAATGATTTTTGAATATATTATTCAAAATATACAACTGCCCACTTACGAATGTGAATGCCTGTACCAAAGCAGCAAAAAGTATAAGGGACAATCAGGTGAAATGGACACAGAACTTACTTCTGCTCTTCTACTTGAATTACTACAGCACACACATTAAAAAATCTTAAAAATTTTACAAGGATTGAAAAAGAATTCTATACTTGAATAAAGGATTCATTCGCTTTACCTAAAATATTTATGTAGGTGCTTAACACTAATGTAGCAGATATGAACATATTTCTATGTATAGCTTTTTCATACTCAGTTTTAAATTACTATTTTAAAGTACTATTACGAAGTAAAACCTATTAAGATGTGGACTTGCATTTTTATAGCAATTGCATTAAAAGTAGTTTTTGCTTGTACTTTGCAGCCTCTATACTGATAGCCCTCCCTACTACGCATCTTGAAATAATTTAGAAGAAATTGGTATATTTTACTGATGTGGAACTGAGAAATACTGGAATAAACACCTACCCAAGACTCAAAAAAGGGCCAGATGCATTCAAGTGTAGGCATTGACACATAGAGATCTACAATGGGTTCTCAGCAATCTTTATAAACAACAGAGAGGAAGAGATGCTTCCAAGGACTGATGCATCTTGCATTAAGAGAGATGTCATCCACTGAGGATGAGGATAATGCAGTACTTTAGATGTCCATTTCTCTCCACTGATTTTTGAGGCAGCAGAGAACAAGCTCTGATGCAGTGATGTACACTGCAGAAATCTGTAACCAGACATGATAAATCCCACTAAAAATCTAAAATATGCCCTAGAAATGTTGTATTGCAAATATACCCTGGAAAAGGTTGCCCAAGGAGGCTGTGGATGCCCCATCCCTGGAGGCATTCAAGGCCAGGCTGGATGTGGCTCTGGGCAGCCTGGTCTGCTGGTTGGCGACCCTGCACACAGCAGGGGGTTGAAACTGGATGATCATTGTGGTCCTTTTCAACCCAGGCCATTCTTATGATGACTCTATGATACCCTGATATCTTCATGCAAAATTAGCAATGTAAGACTTTCAGTCACATTACAAAATCCTTAAAGACAAATCCAAGATTCTTTAATAACTTACCACATTTGCATACTAAACTTGTTTTCTAAAAGTGAATGCAAGCTGCTCAGTCCTCCTTTTTCTCTTGTGTCTAGTTCACTGCCGTCACAAACACAGCTTTGAGGAAATATATCTCTGAAGATAACCAGTGTTAGGACAAGAAGCAATGGCTTGAAGTCATACCAAGTGAGGTTCAGTTGGATATTAGGAAAAAATTCTCAAAAAGAGTGGTAAAGTATTGGAATGGGCTGCCCAGGGGGGTGGTGGAGCCATCATCTCTGGAGGTGTTCAAGAAGTGTGCAGATGTGGCACTAAAGGCCACGGTTTAGTGGACATGGTGAGGATGGGCTGACAGTTGGAGTAATGTCTTTGAAAATTTGTTATGTAATTACCTTCACTTTTATTATGGCCTTAATATATTGATAAAGATTGACAGCAAAGCAATAAGAAATACTTTCTTACCAGATTGAGTATTCTGATAGGTAAGTTCTCAAGGCCACTGATTGCAGTGAGTCTGTTGTGTGACAAACTAAGGTGAGTCAGACTACGACACCTCTCCAGTCCTCTTATCTCCTCTATGTTATTAACTTGGTAAAGGATTTGGAATTCAAGGAAAATAACTGGATGCAAAAATCATAGCAATAGTTGCTGGCCACATTACTCACTGGGATTGAAGTTTGTGGTATGGGGAGCTGGATGTCAAATGCTTCATGCTAAAGAGTTTAACATCCCAGCTGCTCATGCCCATGCCTGCTCTGAAACGTACTGCTTCCTTGTTTGAATGATACAACTTTCTGTGGAACTGCAGAATAAGTGACTTAATTTACCCTCCTCTCCTTTTCTGTGGGTAAGTGTCCAATGTGGAACTATTTATATGAAAAACAAGCGACAGAACCAAGCAAAATAGCCAGAAGAAGCAGGACACAGAGAAATGCCTTTAGGCAATCTCAGAAGAAAACACTTCTTAACTGACTCAAGATAATGAACTCTGCCTGCAAAAACAGATGAGTTCTCACTCTTATCAAGCAGTGGACAAGTTATCTGGATTTTTTTCTTCTAACTCTGAATGATATTGTAAATCTAAATGAAATGTAAGCTTAGACAGTGCCAATATAATCCTTTTTAATAACCATAACCTTACTCTGTTTTTTGTTTTTTTTTTTTTCCTTAGCCACCATCTTATGTGAGGACTTCATTATATTTTACCTCTAAGTTCTGCACTCAGGCTGAGGTAGGAAAGGAGCGGAGAAGAAATGAGCTGGAAAGCTGAGATTTATCTTTTCAAAGGACCTCACTTGGCTGTTTCCTACACTTAGGAAAGAAACCAGAAGCATGCACAAGCACTGATAGCTGACAGATATTCACTGATGCAAATACAGCATGGGACTGCTCCTCTTTCAACCAAGGAGGAAAAGCTTTAGTGAGCAAAGAATTAAGGTCGATATGAAGGAGATCAACAAATCATTCACTGCCAGTAAACACAAGCACCAGCCTGTTTCGAGACAAACAGGTTTAAGCCATAAGCATCAATATGAGGCAGCAAATTGCTCAGCTCTAAGAACTAATATAATCAGTTTTCTAGCAGCCCACTAGAATGCCTTGTCAGCTATTATCGTCCAAGCTGTCTCCTCTCTGGTTTGGCCAGCTTCCTCCTTGAAAACTCATTCATACTCCTGTCAGGTGTGCTTCTATGTGCACCTGTCAGAAAGAAAGTTACAATGACCTTACCATCTGCATTAGAATTCTTTTAAATATGGTAAGAAATGCTTAGTTGCTGTCAAAAAGGAAATGCATGCCAAACATTTCCACGACTGCACGATATTTATTATTTTTTTTTTTCCCCATTTATGATTACAAAGAACAGCTTGTTTTGTCTGCCATGTCTTCCGTGAGGAATGCCTGACGTGGGTTAGGAACAGTGTCACTTTACTGTTCTAAATTCTGTCCTCATTTGCCTCTGTTTCTGAGAGTCCCATTATAATCGCACACATGAAACAGCTTTTATTTCCATTACATTGGCATCAGTGCAAATGAAGAAACTGAAGACAGCATGCTGTAGCATTCCAACCAAATGAAGAAATACTGATTCAGATCCATAATATAAAAATCTGTTCTTTTTCCCTTTTCATTTTTGTCATACGTATAAATTTTTTTGCACTACGATGGAAAATTAGAATTGCAAAGGAATAGCATCTCCATGCCATTTTCTGACAAGAATTATGTCACCTGCACACCTTGTAAAACGTGTGAATAAGGTAACCTGGAAACCCTGCAAATGCTTTATCTGTTCCTACGTTAAAAAGACATTGTATTAATACTGTTAGGTAATGGGCTACTTTAAGGACAAGAGACAGAGAAAAAAAAACGGCCTGCTGACTTCTTTTCAGAGAGCAGAACATCAAGATGCAACTTATGAAGCAAAGAGGAAAGGGTTGCAAGGCTTCAGGAAGCAATTGTAGATGAGGCTACACGTCACTGTGAAGCTCCAGAAGAGTTTTCAGAGAAGCATATATAATCTATACAGAGACTAAGAGCACTGTGAACAACCTTAGAAAAGTAAGCAATCAAGAAATTCTATCTGCAGATTCACACTTCCCTGATTTCTGCCACAATAGTGTTTTCAGTCATGCGAAATAGGAACCAGTGACACCGTAGCACATGTGGTTTCCCTGTCTCTGGAAGTGTTCAAGGCCAGACTGGATGGTCTGATATTAAATGTGGAGGTTGGTGGTGCTGTGGCAGGGGGGCTGGAGATTCCTGATCCTCGAGGTCCCTTCCAACCGTGGCCATTCTGTGATTCTGTGTAGCAAAATACTCTGCCTCTGTGTGTGTATGCAATGGTATACTCCAGGAAATTTCCTCTCCCTTAAAGATTCTCTTCACTAGCACTAAACAACCTTGTTCTCCATAGAGCCTCTGTAGGCCCTCAGTAATAGTAGCTAAGTCTAAGATTAAATAACACACGACTTGTTCACTTAAGGGATCTTAGTGTTCCAGGCTGATTTCCTATTAACTTCTCTTATTTGAAACAGTGGGGTTATTTATTAGCTCTGCTATGTGAAGGCAGTGTGACATGTCACATTTTCATTTTTACATGATGCAAAGTTGAAGATTTTCTTTCCTCTGGCAGGCTAGCTTTACATACATCTACAAACAGCTTTAACTCATTAAACTCAGTAAATTCAGATCAGTATCACAATCAGAATTATAATGCTTAAGCTTCCTTCTAAAGAAAAGCATGACATGAAGGAAAAAATACAAAGAACTGCTTGAAGCAAAAATTTGTTCATAAGGCAAACAAGCAACATTTCTTCCACTCAAACCTCCATGAAGGATACAGTCCAGCAAGAGTTTAGTTAATGACTGGTATGCTGACAAATCTTGCATTTTAGGTATTTGATTGTGCGAAAAATCTACTTCCTAAAGAGAAAGGAAGACAAAATTAGTTTTCTTTTTTCACCACTTATAGATGTCTTGTAAAATTAAATGGCTGTTATATTAAACTTGTGATCAATTTTACAGACATTAGAAGAACATCAACATTAGTACTGGAACCTAAGCAGGAAGGCTCATTTTTACAAGGAGGAATTCAAAACTACATTTTTTCAAACAAACATAACATAAGAGGTCCTGCAATTATGCATACGTATTAAAAATACACCTTCTCATGGAATGCTGAGGTTCAGAAGGCGTAAGAAAATAAAAGACTGAAACGTACAATGTAAAACACCCAGAGGTTTGGTAAATATACTAAAACGTCAAATGAAGTATCAGAGAAGAACAAGGAAAGCTCAAAAGTTGGCTTCTGCACACATCCAAATACAATGTCTAAAGTTGATTTAAAAAAACATTCTGAATTGAACCTATAAAATGCATCTATTTGCAACTTACCTTGAGATTTTTCGGTGGCTTAAAACCAAAATATGTAGTCAATTCGTTGTTGGAAGCATTCAGTTCTAGTAAATAAGGCATCTGACTGACACAAGAAAGATCTAATAACAAAACAAATGCCAAATGCTTCACATGAATGCATAGGTAAATGCAGATGTCATCATGTCAGAATGTGATAATTATGCTCAATAGCAACTGAAAATCAGCTCGTGATTACACATTCAGAAAGCAGTGTTTGAAATGCAGAAGTCTGATACATTAATGCCTTGTACTAGAAAAAAAAAAAAAAAGATGATTACTAAACATCAAAGAACAAATATTCAAATTCTACATAAAATCTCCATTAGGAAACATATTTGTCTGTGAGCCATAATATAGCTCGGTATTCTAATTCTCTTTAAAGTAACAGAGAGACTACCTCTGTCCTAACTTATTAATTACTGGAGAAAAGTATTTGAGTCATTACTGATAACTAAATAACGAGTGTTACAAAAAAGTCCATGCTCTGCTCAGACCTAGGCTTGCTTTTACTAACTGTCTGTCAAACAGAGAAGTGCTGCCCTACCAAAGTGCTGCTATGACACAACTCAGCACCTCAACTGAAATGAAGTTGAAAGCAAAACTGTAATCTGCTGCTACTACAGATCATTTGTTTTCATGTTAAATTAAAAAGATGAGTTGGGGGGTACAAGGCAGAGGAAAGGAGCGGAAAATAACAGGTTTTACTTCAGTCTCCATTAGTTATCTCTCTAAATACAGTGTGCTATTTGTTCTTTGGTCCGCAATGGAAAACCTTGAGGAAGGATAGCCCAAGGCTTGCAAAACTGTACCAGCCATAATTTTACACACTGTGACATTTGTATGTGCAAAGTCTCAACCTTAATCTTGTACTGACATGCTTGCTTGCATTTTAGTTGTGGATAATAAACTGGACAATAATCTCCATGTTCCCACTGATAAGCATATGCTGGTGCAGCACTCTGAACAGTCCATACATCATCCATGACAAGATCGAGCCATTGCCTCAGTCTGTAGAGCCAGCATAGTTATGCCATTAAAATGTAGACCAAGGTTTGTGATATTAAGCCTACACGGTACGCTGCATTTCTTATCTTAAATGATTTCACAATCCAAGAATTTACTAGTGTATTTAGTACATACCATTAATTTTATTATATGAAAGTTCCAACTTCTGTAGGTGGACGTATCTGGAGAGAATGTTAATGTTGCTCAACTCACGACCCTGGAAAAATAAAGCAAAGAGACTTTAATAACTAACTGTATAACCTCGCCTTTCTCTCTCAAGAGATGTGAAGCATCAGAAGACACTGAAGACATTCCCCGAGGTCCCTCCAGCTGGATCTCTGAACAGAACAGCAGAAAGCATGTTAGACCAGCCATTAATGGAGACAGTGTCAAAAGAATACTTTAGAACACAATCACGACACAGCTGCAGCTAGGAATAGTGCCACAGAAGCAAGGCTCCACAGAAGGATGCCTACAGCAAGAAATATTTAAGGCAACCATTTAAACTTTCTGTCCAGAAGACACTGAATGCAGCTTTCTTAAATGTTTAGCATGTTCTTCTGTTTCTTTCTCTAGCTGATTAAAGAACGAAGATACATTTCCACACCTGAAAAGGGAGCATGAAAAAACATTACTACTGCTGCAACTAAGTGAAAAGAACAGTCCTGATGTGGCAATTGTGAGTAGAAGCTGTGTTGTGTCTTATCAAGTGTCCCAGATATGGGAAATTGATGCGTATAGACAATTTTATTTCTTAACATTATTTTACCAGGCCAACTATTTGCTGTTACAAAGAAGAAACCTTTGAGTGGAAAAGCACTTTACAATGATGCTCTTCACTTATACTTACTGAAAGTGACAGATTAAGATAAACGTATTCAGTACCAGGCGCTGAGCGCCCCAGCTTGTGGAGACCCTCAGCCACAGTGTCTTCATCCAACATTCCTTCCAAACACTCCTATAAAACACCAGGAAGGAGGGAAAGGGAGAGGAATGGGTTTAGGGGAGATTTATGAAACAAAATTCCAATCTATAGAATCTAAGAGCTGCAACTGGGAACAGTTTAATATAAGACCTCAATCAAATGCTACTTTAAGTGCTCCATCACTTTGTTAAGGCACTATACATTAGGAAGAAGGATGAATAGAGCCCTCAAAACTAATAAATAGAAACACATTACATGCTAACTCCAGACATTGAAAAAGGTTCGTAGTCAATCTTTCCAAAGCTTTTTTTTTTGTTGTTGTTGGGATTTTTTTTTTTACTTTCTGATGTACAGGCTCAGCCTGTTTTCAGAGATGTTGAGCCATGAAACTCACATTGATTATGGATGTTAACATCTCGGCAAATCAGCATTAACATAACCCCTGTGTTGTATACCCCAATACACGCATTATTGGAGGCCCTTTGCATTTGTTCAGCATGAGCAGCTAGTGCTACTCTTCAGAGAACACTCTTTGCCAAAGAGGCTACTTGACAGATGGCACTAATGAACCACTGCGTAGATTTAATGAGAAAATAAGCCAATGGCTTGTGAAATTCCTATGAGCCAAGAGAAGTCACACAATGATCCCTTATCTACAGACAAGGATAAATAATGTTTCCAATGGCAGTCATCTAAATCATAGCACCTATATGTTCTTATCTACAGACAAGGATAAATAATGTTTCCAGTGGCAATCATTTAAATTATTACACCTATATGTTATAGCAATGGTGACTGCAGAGATATTTTCATGACTGTTGTAGCAGTGGACACAAAAGCCCAGCCAAGAAGGTAGATCCAGGAGCTTATTTAACCTCAGGGCTGGGGGTATATGCAAGAAAGGGACTTAGTTTGCGAATTCATATTCCCTGGATTAATTAATCAATCTATATTTGTCTTTGTCTTCATAAAAGGAGAGGTAGGGAGCAATATAGAACTCTCCAGGATACAGTAGGGATGGAAGGGATCCTAACAAGAAAATGAAGCACCAAAGCATCCTTTTCTCTTGTTGGGGAAATGAAAATCACTTACTTTTGCCCTCATTACCTCTCTCCTTTTCCCCCCACAACTACCCTGAGAGATGAGGAGGGAAAAGACACTGTCCCTATAGGCACACCCCTTCCCAAAGAGCAGGGGAAGCTCTGAGCTGAACCTCTGTGGGATGCAAATCCTTGAGTTCATCCTCTTTCTCCTCCTCTTCGTCCTCTTGGTGAAGAGGGTGGTGCTGCAGGTCGGACCCCTCGAAGTGCCCCTGGGAAAAGTCGTGCTGGCGGTCAGAAGAAGGAACGGGCAGCTCTTCTTGCTTCTCCTCGGTCCCCGCCATGAACTGTGAGAAATGAGCAGAGAAGCAGAGAAATCTGCGTTATGGACGCTTCGCAACCGAGCTCAGCCCTCAGCCCGGGCCGCCGCCATCTTGTTTACTCTCTCGTTGTCATGGAGACGGGAAAAGCGCCGCCTTCCCCTCTCCCCCCATCCGCGCCATCTCGACAGCCAGCCAATCAGAAAGCGGCGGTTGGAGCGGTGCACGCTGGGAGTTGTAGTTCTCTGCGCGCTGCTCGTCCGTAGGGGACAGGCGTGCCGCAGAGCATCTTGGGAGTTGTAGTCTGCTTCAGAGGCGCTCTCCTCAGCCAACCTCCTCACCCAGCTATTTTCTTACGGTTCCAACTCATTCTCCGTTTGTGTTCTGACCCATGGGGAGAATACAGCTGCTCATGGTAAAACAATTTAATGTGGGAGACAATGGATTCGTGCTGATTGCAGTGGCTCTCCAACGTGGGCCATGGCAGCCAGCTGACAGTCCTGAAATTCAGCTTCTCGTTGCCACATAATTGCCTTCTCCACCTGTGTTCATTAAAGGACACCCATCTTTGATTTCAATTGTTGTTGTTTTTTAAAAAAAAAGAGAGAAAAAAAAAGGACATAAAACCTCCTTATGGACACCATCCGCTGACTTTTATCTCTGTGCTTCAGGGAAACATTATGATAACTGCAATAAAGCTACTCCAAATTGCCTTCCTTCATTATCTCGCCAGCCATAAATGTTAAAACCCTTAATGAGATTTACTCCTTTTCCATTAAGCACCGTGTGCCTCCTCCCAGAGCCCTCTGGGCACAGTGGCTGCCCTGCAATGGCTCTTCTCCAGGTAGGGCATGGCTGGGGCTGTGTTCAGAGGAGGGCAGCAAAGGCACAGGATGGAGAGCTTGTGGAAAGATGGAAAATCCTGAAGGGGAAGGCTGAGTCCTGTCAGGATACGCACAGGGAGGCTTCTAGAATCATAGGGTCATAGAATTGATTGAATTGGAAGGGACCTTGAAAGGTCAGCTAGTCCAACTCTCCTGCAATGAGCAGGGATACCTATAACTAGATCAGTGTGCTCAGAGCCTGCTCCAGTGTGATCCTCCAGGGATGGGGCATCCACCACTCCTCTGAGCAACCTCTGCCAGTGTCTCACCACCTTTATTATTTTTCTTTATATCCAGTCCAAATCTTCCCTGTTTTCATTTGAAAACATTTCCCCATGTCCTGTTACAACGGACCCTGCTAAGGAGTTGGTCCCCTTCTTTCTCCCATCCCCCCTTTAGATATTGAAAGGTCACTATCAGGTCTCCCCAGAGCCTCCTCTTCTCCAAGATGATCAGCCACAGCTCTCTCAGCCTGGGGAAGTGTTCTATCCCTTGGATCATTTTTTGTGGCCCTCCCCTGGATGTGCTCCACCAAGTCTATGTCTCTCCTGTACTGAAGATTCCACATCTGGATGCATTACTCTAGGTGAGACCTCACCAGCACAGAGTAGAGGGGCAGGATCACCTCCCTTGCCCTGCTGGCCATGCTTCTTTTGATGCCAGAGCTTCAAAGCCAAGCAGGAGCTGCTTGATGAGAGCAGGCTTCCTAGAAAGCTGGATGATATGCCATGTCTGTCAGGTTGATGTGCCAAGAGGTATTTGGGTTATGCCCTTAATAATATGCTTTAACTTTTGGTTAGCCTTGAAGTGGTCAGACAGCTGGACTTGGTGATCTTTTAGGTTGGTTCCAACTATCCCTCCCCTCCCCTCCCCTCTCTCTATTCACACCCTGGACTGCAAACAGCATGGGAGGGCTGACCTCATTTGGCCAACCAGTGTTCCCTGGCTTCTCACTGCCTTCCCCATTCAACAAGCACAGGTGAACCATCAGCCAACACACAGTGAGCAAACACTGAGCATGTACAGTACAAATATCTGCTCTCTGCAAACCTGAAACGTCACTTGCATGGAGCTTCATATTGCACAAGGCTCATGAGCTTTCTGGCTGTAAAATACTGCTGCAGTGAAATAGCACAGTTTTGCTACCTCTTTCAACTGTCATGGAGGTTTTCTTATCGTGCCTCCCATATTTTAAAGCAGAGGGCAATTGGGTCACCCCCAAGAGAGGTGGCACACCTTTAACTCAATTGAGTTGCAGAAACATTTACCTTTCAGTGGGGCTTGTTCAAAGGACACTAAAAGGGCTTTGAGATATCTACAAGCCCAGCAAGCTTTGTGCTATGGAAAAGCTATGAAGTTTTAGACAGAGAAAACTGCAGAGTACCTCTTTTTCCAGATGACAGCTTTGGCAGTCTGACATCCAGCAACCACAAAAAGAGGAGCAGGCTGCCAGCTAAGCCAGATCTCTACTGCATCCATAAGCACCTACCACAGCAGAAACACCCACAGGGGACGTGTGCTGGGACTGAGAAAATCACTGCAGCCAGTGCAAAGCATAACAACATTAGCTGTGGCTGGACTTAATCCGTTTACATGAATGTACATTCAATACCAAATACCTCTTTATTCCTCAGATTGCACAGGCAGGTTAACATTAGAAGAGTGGTGGGCTGACCGGAGGTGTGAAGGCAGCTGAGATGCTTGGATTGGTGAGCAGTAGGTTTGCAGGAAAGAGACTTGCCTGAGCTCCAAGCTCTCCAAGAGGCAAAGGCAACAATGTAATCAAATTCCAACTAGCTGGACAGCTGGTCCCTATAAAAGGGGGCTGGAGATTTCACGGGAACAGATTATATAAAAAGGGTAGGTCCAGGCAAAGTTTAGATGGGCTGCCATCGATCTTGGAGCAGTGCCAGCAGGGCTAATGAGTTCTCTGCATGGAAGTCTCCCAGAGTTTATTTCCTACCATCTGGAAAATGCCTGCCCTTCCACTGGGATCTGCGATGATTCAGACAGGAGTAAGGGTTATTAAAACCTCAGAACCATGCTTGTCCTCCCTCCTTGTCCCCTCCCCACCCCATCTGTTTGGCTTGGTGATGCAGGGACCAGCTGCTGGCTCATGAGCTCCGAGTTGAAACGGCTTCTTTAAGACCATGCTCCATGGAGGATGGCAATGGGAGTGAAATGAGTCTTATGTATTTTGGGCCAGAGACAGATTGTTCCTGAATGGGGCTATTAAAAAGAAAAAGAAACAGATTAGAAAATGCCTAGGTGGTAAAGGTAGTTTTGGTGGATGCAGAAAATGTGTGGGGTGATGGGAAAGGTCACCCTTCCTGTGTTGCACCCCTAGTCCAGCACAGCATGTCCAACCAGGATATTTCCTTAGATATGATGTATTCTCCTTCCCTAGCACCTAAGACAAAAACTGAGTTTTTCCTACAGAAATTACATTGAACAAACTGCACATGAAAAGCTTATAATGGCCAACCCAAATGGCCAAACACTATCTGCCCATCTTCTGCTGGGAGCAGCATCTATTTTTATGCTGTGGATCTGTGCCCAGTTCTGAAGATCTGTGCATTTCCCTCGGCTTCTTCTTCATCCCCCTATGTTTCTAGGTGCTGCCATCACTTTTTAGCTTCAACTTGCCCATGGTTGTTGGTAGGTCATTTCCCTGTCAAGGTTTGGTGTCCCCAGCCCCAAAATATTAGCCTGGCCTTCTGGCTTGCTTAGTTATTGCATGCCTGGAAGGCTAGGATGGACAGGAACCATTGAAGAAACCATTTGCTGGCAGCCAGTTGATACCTCTGTGGGTAGCAGTTCACTCTGAGGGACTCTGCAAGAATGTGTGGGGTTTGATTTGGGGCTGATGCCCTCAAAGTCATCAGGTGAGTTGCCATCTCTGTGTTTCAGCTCCTCTTATTCAGCCTTCCCTTCCTCCGTGTTCTGCACACAGCACTGGTGACCCTTCCATGATAGCTGTGTGCACAAAGATGTCTCAAGGTCCCCGCCATCCAACCTATGCATTCAGTAATTGGGAAGGACTCTCCTGATGGGATGACAAAAAGGACTGTCTCTATTTGCTCAGTGCTTTGGGGGCATCCTACTGATGTTCGAGGAGTCATTAAAAACAAGAGCTGTACAAAGAATGTCCTTCTATCATCAGCTGGGAAAGAACTAATCATGCAGATGAGAGACTTTACAGTTCCCTTAAATGCCTGGGCTTCTCTTCTGAGTGATTAATGAGCAACAGCTCAGTGTGCAGGCTCAGTTATTCATAGCCTCATCTGACATGATCCTGTTCTTCATGTGAGAAGGGGGATTTCTGGATGCACCAAGGAGAGATAAATCTTCTAGACTGATATTCAAGCAGGGAATGAGAACAGATGAGGGTAAGACAAAGGGCAACCCACAACATGGCCAGCCTGGCCCAGTGAAGATCAACATTTTGAAGTGGCCACAGTACAAAAACATGTTTAAAGAGCCTTCATTGCATTCAACTTCACAAGCTTAAAGCTCAAGGTAGGGATAGTAGTAGTTCAGATAGGTGAGAAATGCCCCCAGTTCTGCTAATCATGGAGAACTCATTTATTTGCTGATGCCAGATGGCCTGTTAGGGCCCAAAGGGGTTGATGTGGCAAAAAAGGGTGGGAGATATTCCCTAGACATCCAGTCTTATGTTGCTGCATTTCAGATGTTGTGTGGCTGCGGTGTGAATTGTTCCCCAAGTTCTCCTGGCTCTGGAACAGCAAACACTGAACTGAACATGCGAAAAAAATCCAGAATTGAAGCTTTCAATCCACAGTTATTATTCTAATAAAACCTTCCCAGTATCGACAGAGGGAACATTTAATACTCAGAAGTGTTAACAGCAAACGCTGGCCTTAAACACATTGATTTACAATTCAATTACAAAAACAATCAGCTCCCAAATACATGCCACATGCAAAGCAGATTTATAGGGAGCCCTGGCACTCTGATAGCACTTTGCAGTCACAAAAAACCCATGCAAACTCTCTTGGTGATTCACCGGTAAGTACTAGGCAATAAAAGGACCCAGCTGGATGAACGGGGAAAAGGGAAACCTGAAATGCTGCCAAGGTGCTCCTGAGCAGGGAGAGAAGCAAGGTGTAAAGCAGGCACTGTGCATCCCACTGAGATCCAACTTCAGCCAACTTTGCAGGCGCAGCTTTTCATGGTGATGATGGGGCACAGCTTTGG